TGATTAATCGTAAATAACGTTATACACTTCATTCACTATACACTATAAATGTCACTGTATAACTGTAAATCATACGTGAATATTACTTACACATATATAAATGTCACTGCTAATATGTATTTGAAAGCTTACACTTTATATATAAGTTCCTTTAATATAACAGGTAGATCTATAAGAAACAAACTTTAACACAATCTTGTCTCTTAATTTCTGTTTATAAACATTATAAACACTATGTGTATATACACTCAGACAAACCGAACATCAGTTGGGTTGTTGTTGTCGTAGTCAGCGATTTTCGAGATTGGAGCAGTTGATGCCGGGTGCCATCCCCCGTTTTTTTGTTGGGTGAGTCACCCAGCTCCCGTTTTCTTTGGGTGAACGCTGGGTGAGCCACAACGCCACAACGCCCCACGCCGTCACTGCCCCCAGCACAAAGGAAAAGCTGACCTAGTACTTTTGCTTCCTTGCCAGTTCCTCCATGAATCAAAGCAGAATGTTTGATTCTTGCTGTCTTAAGCATAGACAACAATATACACTATCTTCACTATGGTAATAAAGTGGGAGCAGGATTTTCCTTAATTGTCCTGCTAAGATAAGAGATGTACTGTCTCTTATTAAAATGCACTCTGCAACACTGGACTGCAAGGAGCGGCGGTCGCTTGACCATACGTTGCATACTGGTACTGCATCTGGGATCAATTACTCACTGTAGCAGTAAACAAGACGCTTGCCCCTTCTGAGAGGGCTGGGCCCCTCAGGGCTGAAAGGGCTGTAAGGGGATGATACCCCCCTCCTGGAGAAAATTTCTCCACACACGTAACAAGAACACAACAGAGGAACACGTAACAAGAACACAGGTGAGGAGGCAGAAGAATGCATTGAGACACGTAACAAGAACACAACAGAGGAAGACGTAACAAGAACACAGGTGAGGAGGTAGAACACTACATTGAGACACGTAACAAGAACACAGGTGAGGAGGCAGAACAATACACTGAGACACATAACAAGAACACAACAGAGGACCACGTAACAAGAACACAGGTGAGGAGGTAGAACACTACATTGAAACATGTAACCATAACACAGGTGAGGAGGTAGAACACTACATTAAGACATGTAACAAGATCACCACAGGTGAACACCTAACAAGAGCACAGGTGAGCAAAAGTCACCCACTTGTCGTCACCAGAGTCGATTATTATTGCTCCAATGCACTGAATAGAGTAGCTCCAATGCACTGAATCAAGAGCCCTTCACCAGCGCCGAAAACTGTACTAGTCGAGTTTTATACACGTACGGTTTAAAGTCACTAATATATTGGTATGGTTTATATTGCTTAAAAAGTAACAAGATTCCCATAATTCTATAACCATGGTGATTATTATTATTATAATCAAGGGGGAAGCGCTAAACCCGGAGGATTATACAGCACCTGGAGGGGGGGATGTGGAAGGCATTCAGGCTTAATTCGGGGAACTGGAGCACAGATCCAATTCCCTAAATCAAGAGCCCCTCACCAACATCAAAGAACCTTCTTTGAGGGGAACCATGGTGATAACTGGTATAAAATACCGACCCATGGAAAAAAAAAAAAAAAAAAAAAAAAAAAAGCAGTATAATGTGTTCCTTTATTGACAACGTTTCACCCACATAGTGAGCTTTATCAAGTCACTCACAGATCTACCTGGGTGAATAGTACACGAGATTTTTATAGTGAGGCGAGTCAGGTGGAGAATGTTGGGTAGGTTGTGTTTGAGAAGGACCTGTAAGGGTCCTGGTCCTTGACCTGGACCAGGACCCTTAATAATAATAATAATAATATTCATGACTTAATAATAAAATAATACTACTAATAAAAAATTTTATTTCTTCAAGTACATGTACAAGGTATACAGACCATAGTTGACATCAATGACATACTACTGTATAGAAAGTCCCTTGTTATGCTGAGCATTTCCCGCAGTGTCAGCCCTTCCTCCCTCCCACTGCCGCTCTGCCACCCCCTCTTAGCCCTTCCTCCCTCTCACTGCCGCTCTTGCGACCCCCTCTTAGCCCTTCCTCCCTCACTCACTGCCGCTCTGCCACCCCTCTCTTAGCCCTTCCTCCCTCTCACTGCTGCTCTGCCACCCCCTCATAGCCCTTCCTCCCTCCCACTGCCGCTCTGCCACCCCCTCTTAGCCCTTCCTCCCTCTCACTGCCGCTCTGCCACCCCCTCATAGCCCTTCCTCCCTCTCACTGCCACTCTGCCACCCCTACCTCATCACGCATTTCCCCCCCTCCTTGAAACCCCTAAATACACCCCCCCTTCCCCTCCACCATATCCTCCCCCATCAGACACTACCTGCCATTCACTACAACTACTACAAACCTTCTACCCTGTCTGCCACCCACCATCCTCACTACTCTCCCACCTTCCACTACCATACTGACTACCATAACCCTCTATCTCTGTCACAAGATATATACACAGAGTTGTATATCTGGGCATACACCTTGACAGTTTATTTCCGACTTTAGTGATTAAAATTGACTTAAATATTTAATAACAATAATGATAAAAATAATATATCTTTATCTACTGCAAGTGCATGTACATGGTATACGGGGTGTAGCTGGCATCAATGAACATGGTCGTAATGACGACTCTTCTGAGTGTCAGTAAGGGTTTTTTTAGGGGACAGGATACCCCTAAGTACAAATATCACATATTATATTAACCTTTGTTATAATATCTAAAATACACAACGAAAAAAGTCAAAATGCTTATTTCCATTAGGGCCTGTCCCACCCAGAAAAACCCAGTCCCACCCAGAAACCCGTCCCACCAGAACCAGTCCCCCCAGAAAACCCCGTCCCACCCAGAACCATCCACCCAGAACCCAGTTCCACCCAGAACCCAGTCCCACCAGAACCCTGTCCCACCCAGAACCCAGTCCCACCCAGAACCCAGGGCCCACCCAGAACCCAGTCCCACCCAGAAACCCTGTCCCACCCAGAACCCAGTCCCACCCAGAACCCCAGTCCCACCCAGAACCCAGTCCCCCCCAGAACCCTTCCCACCCAGAACCCGTCCCACCCAGAACCAGTCCCACCAGAACCCAAATCCCACCCAGAACCCAGTCCCACCCAGAACCAGTCCCACCAGAACCCAGTCCCACCAGAACCCAGTCCCACCCAGAACCCAGTCCCACCCAGAACCCCGTCCCACCCAGAACCCAGTCCCACCCAGAACCCAGTCCCACCCAGAACCCAGTCCCACCCAGAACCAAGTCCCACCCAGAACCCAGTCCCACCCAGAACCAGTCCCACCCAGAACCCAGTCCCACCCAAAAACCCAGTCCCACCCAGAACCAGTCCCACCAGAAACCGTCCACCCAGAACCAGTCCCACCCAGAACCCAGTCCCACCAGAACCCAGTCCCACCAGAACCAAGTCCACCAGAACCAAAAATCCCACCAGAAACCCAGTCCCACCAGAACCGTCCACCCAGAACCCAGTCCCACACAGAACCCAGTCCCACCCAGAACCAAGTCCCACCCAGAACCCAGTCCCACCCAGAACCAGTCCCACCCAGAACCCAGTCCACCCAGAACCCTGTCCCACCCAGAACCAGTCCCACCCAGAACCAAGTCCCACCCAGAACCCAGTCCCACCCAGAACCAAGTCCCACCAGAACCCATGTCCCACCCAGAACCCAGTCCCACCCCGAACCCTGTCCCCACCAGAAACCCAGTCCCACACCCGAACCCAGTCCCACCCAGAACCCTGTCCCCCCCAGAACCTGTCCCACCCAGAACCAGTCCCACCCAGAACCCAGTCCCACCAGAACCCTGTCCCACCCAGAACCCTGTCCCCCAGAACCCAGTCCCACCCAGAACCCAAGTCCCCCAGAACCCTGTCCCACCAGTACCCAGTCCCACCCAGAACCCTGTCCCACCCAGAACCTGTCCCACCCAGAACCCAGTCCCACCCAGAACCAGTCCCACCCAGAACCCAGTCCCACCCAGAACCCATGTCCCACCCAGAACCCTGTCCCACCCGAACCCAGTCCCACCCAGAACCAGTCCACCCAGAACCCTGTCCACCTAGAACCAGTCCCACCCAGAACCCAGTCCCACCTGAACCCTGTCCACCAACCCTGTTCCCACCCAGAATACCCAGTCCCCCCCAGAACCCAGTCCCACCCAGAACCCTAGTCCCACCCTGATACCCAGTCCACCAGAACCTGTCCCCCTCAGAACCAGTCCCATCCAGAACCCAGTCCCACCCAGAAACCGGTTCTCACCCTGTTACCCTTGCCTCACCATGTACCTTTGCCTCACCCTGTACCCCTGCCTCACCATGTACCTTTGCCTCACCCTGTACCCTTGCCTCACCATGTACCTTTGCCTCACCTGTACCCTGCCTCACCATGTGCCTTTGCCTCACCTGTACCCTTGCCTTCACCATGTACCTTGCCTCACCCTGTACCCTTGCCTCACTCATGTCCTTTGCTCCCCCTGTACCCTTGCCTACCATGTACTTTCACCTGTACCCCTGCCTCACCATGTGCCTTTGCCTCACCCTGTCCTCCCTACACCTCCCATGTACCTTTGCCTCACCCTGTAACCCCTTTTCACCATGTACCCTTGCCTTACCGAGTACCATGGTTTGAGGGGGGCGCTGTCAGTGGATGACAAAGCGGTGGGGAGCGCCGCTCCTCGCTGGCTACTCAAGGCTGGAAAGAACAGGCTCAGCTCATTGACGCCAAAGGGCCAGAACAGATAGGTAAAACAAAACTAAAGTCACGATTTTGTTTTTTAAGATTCTTCTATATTTTGTTTATATTTATGATTTTGTGATCAAATCTGTAACTATTTTATACCTATTTTGTAGATATGATTCTCATTTGAAGTGGCATATAACCCCTGGATTTCAGAATTCATCTAGTGGCATATAACCCCTGGATTTCAGGAATCGTGTAGTGCCTAATATAAAATCTGATTTTCAGGATTCTCTGTAGCTGACATGACACAAGTTAATGGAGGCAGGTCTTCAGTGGCGCAGTCTTACCTCCGTCCTGCACTCGACCGAGGCAACCTACATATTGTCTCCAGAGCCCACGTCACACAGGTGGGTATTTTATAGTTTTCCTTTACAGAGACGATCCGAATGGTTGCCTAAATTTTCAATACTTTTCATGAAAATGAGATCAGTTATAAGGGTGTCTTTACCAAATTCATTTTCAGTAATAGAAACATACAGTGGGATCACATTAAACATGTCCTAACTGGAAGATATTCTAAACAACACGGATCCAAAACCTTGCCTAGAAAGAATTAACTCTGCGGCACTTGAGGTATACTCAAGGCACATTTCCCTAAGAAAAGAGAAGATGTGACCTAGAAAGGGAGAGACGCTTCCTCTAAAGGTGAAGGCGAAGAATCAAAGAGTTACTGAAAAGGGCCAAAATATTTCATACAGATACTGAAGTGTCAATATGATTCAGTGTTTAGTGAGCCTTAATCAGATTAAGTGTCGACAGTCTACATGAATTTTTAATGACCGAGACTCAAAACTTGGTTAATTCAAGAATTTCTGATATTATGCTGACATCACAGGACTTTGAAAAGCAATAAATGACATGTTCACTCACTTTGCCCCAGACCCAGACTCATGGAACTCCGTGTTCATTAAGAACTTCAAGAAACCCTATGCATGTGTTAAGTATTCTATGGAGAGGGACCATGGACACAGGGATTATCCCACAGTCATTAAAAGCAATAGACATAGGTCCACTCCACAGAGGAGGCAGTAAAGCAATTACAAAGAATTACAAACCGATAGCACTAACGTCCCCCCCATTCCTCACAGAAAGCTTTGAAAGAGTTGTGAGAAGCAAGATCGCCAACCACTTGGATACCCATCAGTTGCACAACCCACAGCAACATGGACTTAGAACAGCTCGCTCCTGCATCTCACATCGACTGGAAAACTATGGCATCATCTTGAATGCCCTGGAAGACAAACAAAATACTGAAGTTGTATACTTCGACAAATGTGATCATAGTGTAATAGCACACAAAATGCATAAGGGATTAACAGGAAAAGTGGTTAGATGGATCTGTAACTTCCTAACAAATAGAACACTCCAATTAAACAAAGTAAAGTCTGAGGCAGCTACAGTGAAAACCTCTGTTCCACAAGGTACAGTGCTCGCTCCCATCCTATTCCTCATCCTCATATCTAACATAGACAGAGATGTAAACCACAGAACTGTGTCTTTCTTTGCTAATGATACCAGAATTTGCATGAAAGTATCAACTATCGAGGACACTGCAAATTTTCAAGCGGACATTTGCCAAGTTATTAAATGTTCGTCAGACAACATTGTGTAGTTCAATGAAGACAAATTTTAATTATTCCACTATGGAAAACTCTGGGAAATAAAAACTGGATAGTAATATAAAACAAACACAAACCACATCATAGATCGAAAAACTAATGAGAAGGACCTTGGAGTTATGTCAGTGAATATCACTTTCAAAGACCACAACAATCTATTACATTTGTTAGGAAAATGGGATAAAGAGAACCTTCAGAATGGATGGATATTGAGAACCTTCAGAACTAGAGATGCCAAGCTGATAATGATTCTCGTTACATCACTTGTTCTCTCTAGGCTGGAATATTGCAGGTGAAACTGCAGACCTGGAGAATATGCAAAGTACTTTCACTGCAAGTAAAAGTACAAAGAAGCACTAAGTTACTGGGAACGGTTGAAGTCCCTTGACCTGTACTCCTTGGAGTGAAGGCGAGAAAGATATGGGATAATATATACTTGGTAAATCCGAGAGGGTCTAATCACAAATCTACATATTGAAATCACTCCCTAAGAAAGCACAAAGCTCGATAGGCAATGCAACTTTCCCTAATGAAAAGCAGAGTCGCCATGCATATGCCAAGAGACAACACAGTAAGTGTCAAGGGCCCAAGACTATTCATCTGCCTCCCAGCATACATAAGGGGGATTACTAATAGACCCCTGGCTCTCTTCAAGAAGGCGCTGGACAAGTACCTAAAGACAGTAACTGGCCAGCAGGGCTGTGGTCCATACATCAATTTGCATGCGGCCATCAGTAACAACCTCGTTGATCAGGATCTGATCTACCGAGAGACTTGGTCATGGATCGGGCCGCAGTTGCGTTGACGCTCGGAACTGTGGGGGAATTAAGGCAGTTTGTGGGGGGGAGTCATGGCTGAGTCGGGTTAGTGGACCCTTGTTTCAATTGTAAATTCAGTCTGTGGCTGCCTCTCCACTTTAGGGTAACCTCAATCGATGGGGTAGTGACCTTATTCCTCACAGTAGGTAGTGTGATTGTGACCGGCAGCTGACATGGTAACCTTTGGTCGTGGGAGTGCCACCTCCACACATTTATACATCTGCGACTATCTGTGTGAGTTACGTAACTGCCTGCTCCAGTAAGTGAGACCCTTGCCTGCAGTGATCGTATGGTGTACGAATGTAGTTACTGTGGAAAGTTTGTGTAAGGGGTGTTGTGTGTCTCACTGCTGAAGTATGACTGACCGCCGTCGGCTCAAACCCGTGGATACTCAAATTGGAAGGCTGGAGGTGCCTATGGCATTACTGTTTATGAAAAGTGTAACTACTGTCTTAAGCTAAAAAACTGTCTCTAACTTAACTTAAATATGTGTAGTAGTAATGTAGTAATTTAGTGTATAATTAGCCTAAGAGTTACAAGGCTAATTCTTAGAATTAAGTATATACAGAATTAACACCTCTTTAGGCGTCGTTCCCCCCCTCCCCCACCTGGGGTGGCCATAACGGTTCTGGAAAACACCGTTATTTTCCACAGGAACATCCTCCATGTATACTCCACCCAAAACAATTCTTGAAAACCTGAAAAGCTATATTTTTCCGAAACAAAATTCTAGTACATAATAAACAGCAATGAAAAGCATTTTATCCAAGGCTGATGAACTGATTTCATCATCTTTATTTCGCTTCTACTCCTGTATTAAGCTGAAGAAACCTACTGTGTAAGAGAAAATGTTTCAGTCAACAATGATGATTCCGAAGTGTTGCACATGTGTTTCACTCTTCAACTTGTCGGTATTATATACCTTTTTCAACATCGAGTAAGAAACTCTTGGAAGAACTTCCTACAAAAGATTTGCTATGAAAGTATTATAGAAAGACTAGTGTAGAAATTAGCTAGGTAGTATAGTAGGTGTGGAAAATATTTTAATCTTCCGAAGCTATAGTGCCTAATAGGTGTTTAATGTGTCGATATGGGTCAAAAATGTATTTGAAAATGGAATAGAACGAACAGGGAAGCCCTGCGCCTGCGCTGATGGGCAGGGGAGAGGTCGAGATGGGGCATCAGGGAGCGGGAGTGTTTGGAATGGAGTTAAGAGGCTGGGAAAGCATGGGACCAGAAAATTGGCGTTCACAGCAGCCTAAGGATTAATACAGGCCTCACTTCATAATAGGAAGTGTCGTAACTGTTCCTGGTGAAGAGTGAGGGAACGTGATTTACGGGACCACTGTAATGAAGTGGTAAAATTAGTGAATAATGGTGGATGCCATGGAGTGTGTTCAGGGGAAAATACCCGTGATTTAATCATCACTCATCGGTCTTAGATCTTAATGGAGTGACCTCTAATGTGCATAATATTTATGAGACATTAAATCGTCGTGTGAATTGTAACGTAATTGCTGATAATAACACTAAGTTAAGAGAATGTGTGAAGTGAAATAAGTCGCCTTGCTCCGAATGAACACGTTAGACCTCGTGGTTCCTGTTCAGAGGATAGTGAAGGTTTTATGGAGTCACGACTTCTAAACCGGGACCAACGAAGGGATACCTCGTCCTGCTGGAATAAGAACCGTGTCAGTGTAGCAGGATATCGAAATGAGATGGTGAATGGAGGAAATAAGAAGTATCAATCACCCACAGTTAAGTAAGATAAGATTTCGTTCGGATTTTTAACCCCGGAGGGTTAGCCACCCAGGATAACCCAAGAAAGTCAGTGCGTCATCGAGGACTGTCTAACTTATTTCTATTGGGGTCCTTAATCTTGTCCCCCAGGATGCGACCCACACCAGTCGACTAACACCCAGGTACCTATTTGCTGCTAGGTGAACAGGACAATAGGTGTAAGGAAACGTGTCGGAATTTCCACCCGCCGGAAATCGAACCCAGGCCCTCCGTGTGTGAAGCGGGAGTTTTAGCCACCAGACCACCGGGCCACCCTTCTAGTTATAGCAGACTGATACTGGCCAGCTAGGTATGTTGTAATTGGATAGGTTGTGGGTGATCCAGCTACATCAAGTGACCACCAGAGAATATCTGGTAAGTGGTGGGATTATGTACAAGTTGTTAGGTAAGACACATATGCAACAGTTAGGTATCTTTATTTCGAAACGTTTCGCCTACACAGTAGGCTTCTTCAGTCGAGTACAGAAAAGTTGATAGAAGCAGAAGAGACTTGAAGACGATGTAATCAGTCCATCACCATTAAAGTTTTGAGGTGGTCAGTCCCTCAGTCTGGAGAAGAGCATTGTTCCAAAGTTTGAAACAATATGGAGTTGAAGTGACAGGATGGAGCCTTATATAGCGCCAGGAGGTGAGACGTAGGTCACTAGTAGAACGCAGATACAGGTTCAGCAAGATTAACTTTGACAAAAGTCATAACTTTTTAACTCGGGTAAAGAACTCTTTTCGAATCGAATCGAATCGAGGACGACGAGAGTTGTCTAGTTATCAAGTTTAAGAGCATTTAGTGCTGATGTGTTCTTATGAAAGGAAGCTTCATATTTATTTTAATAAAAAATCCATGAAATAAATGGAGAATGCCTCTCCTGATCATTAGTCAGTATTTGACTTCTCTGGATTATTATAAGTTAAATCTCATAATACAGTTTTTATGGCCCCGTGACATCGTGTTGGCCTTCACATCATTGTGACAAATTTATGTGATGTATCTAAACCTAAATTAACCTTATTAAACTTTAATCTCTGATCACTCTTAATAAAAGAAAAGTTCGGATTAATTTGAACCTGTGTAGGTTCCACATTGACATTTACAATGAAGAAACTGGGAAAATTAAAGTACTGCATTGGCTGGGATAATTTGTGAGTTCCTTATTAGATAAGCTTCAAACCTTCAACCCGATAACGTGATAATGCAGCTTCTGAGAGGCTTCAAACTTAGTATTAGTGTTTTTTTGGAATATTTATCTATGAGAGATGAACACAGACTGCCTTCTCGGTTAGGCTTAAAATATTTTATGCTGGTGTTTCTTGGTGGAAAGTTTGAATTTGTGTTGTGCTGTGTATGTTCTAATTTGTGTTGTGCTGTGTATGTTCTAATTTGTGTTGTGCTGTGTATGTTCTGGTTTGTGTTGTGCTGTGTATGTTCTAATTTGTGTTGTGCTGTGTATGTTCTAATTTGTGTTGTGCTGTGTATGTTCTAATTTGTGTTGTGCTGTGTATGTTCTGGTTTGTGTTGTGCTGTGTATGTTCTAATTTGTGTTGTGCTGTGTATGTTCTGGTTTGTGTTGTGCTGTGTATGTTCTAATTTGTGTTGTGCTGTGTATGTTCTAATTTGTGTTGTGCTGTGTATGTTCTAATTTGTGTTGTGCTGTGTATGTTCTAATTTGTGTTGTGCTGTGTATGTTCTGGTTTGTGTTGTGCTGTGTATGTTCTAATTTGTGTTGTGCTGTGTATGTTCTGGTTTGTGTTGTGCTGTGTATGTTCTGGTTTGTGTTGTGCTGTGTATGTTCTAATTTGTGTTGTGCTGTGTATGTTCTGGTTTGTGTTGTGCTGTGTATGTTCTGGTTTGTGTTGTGCTGTGTATGTTCTGGTTTGTGTTGTGCTGTGTATGTTCTAATTTGTGTTGTGCTGTGTATGTTCTGGTTTGTGTTGTGCTGTCTGTTATCTAATTTGTGTTGTGCTGTGTATGTTCTAATTTGTGTTGTGCTGTGTATGTTCTGGTTTGTGTTGTGCTGTGTATGTTCTGGTTTGTGTTGTGCTGTCTGTTATCTAATTTGTGTTGTGCTGTGTATGTCGTAATTTGTGTTGTGCTGTGTATGTCGTAATTTGTGTTGTGCTGTGTATGTCGTAATTTGTGTTGTGCTGTGTATGTCGTAATTTGTGTTGTGCTGTGTATGTCGTAATTTGTGTTGTGCTGTGTATGTCGTAATTTGTGTTGTGCTGTGTATGTCGTAATTTGTGTTGTGCTGTGTATGTTCTAATTTGTGTTGTGCTGTGTATGTTCTGGTTTGTGTTGTGCTGTGTATGTCGTAATTTGTGTTGTGCTGTGTATGTTCTGGTTTGTGTTGTGCTGTGTATGTTCTGGTTTGTGTTGTGCTGTGTATGTTCTGGTTTGTGTTGTGCTGTGTATGTTCTGGTTTGTGTTGTGCTGTGTATGTTCTGGTTTGTGTTGTGCTGTGTATGTTCTGGTTTGTGTTGTGCTGTGTATGTTCTGGTTTGTGTTGTGCTGTGTATGTTCTGGTTTGTGTTGTGCTGTGTATGTTCTAATTTGTGTTGTGCTGTGTATGTTCTAATTTGTGTTGTGCTGTGTATGTTCTTATTTTTCCTTTTTATTAAAGAAGTTGGTACATTAGCCTTCCTGTGATTACTTGTGGATGCCTGTTCTGACTCTCATAAATTATTCAACACTAACTACATTACAAATGTATGCCGCACTCTGCGCTATTCCTCTCTTGAACATTTAGGTAATGGAATCGGAATACATTTCTCTGATCGTGCATTGATCAAAATACACCTATAGTAGTTATTTCTGTGATTTTTTTTTATTCCAGATTCTGTTTGATGATGAGAAGCGAGCAGTTGGCGTTACATACGAGCACCTGGGCAAGGTCAGTCTTAGTCTATACATCTCACTATTCACATTTTTAGCCGATTAATTTCCAAGGGTAATTCTCCACACTACACCTCATCTCTTCTATTCATTTACTTCACCTGCTTTTATTTCATATTTGTTTTGCTCTGTTATATAGCGATATATTATATTAATACATAGTGACCCATACAGCGCCTGAGCGAATGGAAATGGGACGAAGATTCAGTAGCCCGTCACCTGTACCGTGTGTCGCAGTTACTCAGCGCTGATGTGCAGCTTCAACAAGACACCGTGTGTTGTAGTTACCCAGCACTGATGTGCAGCTTCAACAAGACACTGTGTGTTGTAGTTACCCAGCACTGATGTGCAGCTTCAACAAGACACCGTGTGTTGTAGTTACCCAGCACTGATGTGCAGCTTCAACAAGACACCGTGTGTTGTAGTTACCCGGCACTGATGTGCGGCTTCAACAAGACACCGTGTGTTGTAGTTACCCAGCACTGATGTGCAGCTTCAACAAGACACCGTGTGTTGTAGTTACCCAGCACTGATGTGCAGCTTCAACAAGACACCGTGTGTTGTAGTTACCCAGCACTGATGTGCAGCTTCAACAAGACACCGTGTGTTGTAGTTACCCAGCACTGATGTGCAGCTTCAACAAGACACTGTGTGTTGTAGTTACCCAGCACTGATGTGCAGCTTCAACAAGACACCGTGTGTTGTAGTTACCCAGCACTGATGTGCAGCTTCAACAAGACACTGTGTGTTGTAGTTACCCAGCACTGATGTGCAGCTTCAACAAGACACTGTGTGTTGTAGTTACCCAGCACTGATGTGCAGCTTCAACAAGACACCGTGTGTTGTAGTTACCCGGCACTGATGTGCGGCTTCAACAAGACACCGTGTGTTGTAGTTACCCAGCACTGATGTGCAGCTTCAACAAGACACCGTGTGTTGTAGTTACCCCAGCACTGATGTGCAGCTTCAACAAGACACCGTGTGTTGTAGTTACCCAGCACTGATGTGCAGCTTCAACAAGACACCGTGTGTTGTAGTTACCCAGCACTGATGTGCAGCTTCAACAAGACACTGTGTGTTGTAGTTACCCAGCACTGATGTGCAGCTTCAACAAGACACCGTGTGTTGTAGTTACCCAGCACTGATCTGCAGCTTCAACAAGACACTGTGTGTTGTAGTTACCCAGCACTGATGTGCAGCTTCAACAAGACACCGTGTGTTGTAGTTACCCGGCACTGATGTGCGGCTTCAACAAGACACCGTGTGTTGTAGTTACCCAGCACTGATGTGCAGCTTCAACAAGACACCGTGTGTTGTAGTTACCCAGCACTGATGTGCAGCTTCAACAAGACACCGTGTGTTGTAGTTACCCAGCACTGATGTGCAGCTTCAACAAGACACCGTGTGTTGTAGTTACCCAGCATTGATGTGCAGCTTCAACAAGACACCATGTGTTGTGGTTACCCAGCACTGACGTGCAGCTTCAACAAGACACCGTGTGTTGTAGTTACCCAGCACTGATGTGCAGCTTCAACAAGACACCGTGTGTTGTGGTTACCCAGCACTGATGTGCAGCTTCAACAAGACACCGTGTGTTGTGGTTACCCAGCGCTGATGTGCAGCTTCAACAAGACACCGTGTGTTGTGGTTACCCAGCACTGATGTGCAGCTTCAAGAAGACACCGTGTGTTGTAGTTACCCAGCACTGACGTGCAGCTTCAAGAAGACACCGTGTGTTGTAGTTACCCAGCACTGATGTGCAGCTTCAAGAAGACACCGTGTGTTGTAGTTGCCCAGCACTGATGTGCAGCTTCAACAAGACACCGTGTGTTGTAGTTACCCAGCACTGATGTGAAGCTTCAAGAAGACAGCGTGTGTTGTAGTTACCCAGCACTGATGTGCAGATTCAACAAGACACCGTGTGTTGTAGTTGCCCAGCACTGATGTGCAGCTTCAACAAGACACCGTGTGTTGTGGTTACCCAGCACTGATGTGCAGCTTCAACAAGACACTGTGTGTTGTGGTTACCCAGCATTGATGTGCAGCTTCAACAAGACACCGTGTGTTGTGGTTACCCAGCACTGATGTGCAGCTTCAAGAAGACACCGTGTGTTGTAGTTACCCAGCACTGATGTGCAGCTTCAACAAGACACCGTGTGTTGTAGTTACCCAGCACTGACGTGCAGCTTCAACAAGACACCGTGTGTTGTAGTTACTCAGCGCTGATGTGCAGCTTCAACAAGACACCGTGTGTTGTGGTTACCCAGCACTGATGTGCAGCTTCAACAAGACACCGTGTGTTGTGGTTACCCAGCACTGATGTGCAGCTTCAAGAAGACACCGTGTGTTGTAGTTACCCAGCACTGATGTGCAGCTTCAACAAGACACCGTGTGTTGTAGTTACCCAGCACTGACGTGCAGCTTCAACAAGACACCGTGTGTTGTAGTTACCCAGCACTGATGTGCAGCTTCAACAAGACACCGTGTGTTGTAGTTACCCAGCACTGATGTGCAGCTTCAACAAGACACCGTGTGTTGTAGTTACCCAGCACTGATGTGCAGCTTCAAGAAGACACCGTGTGTTGTAGTTACCCAGCACTGATGTGCAGCTTCAACAAGACACCGTGTGTTGTAGTTACCCAGCACTGATGTGCAGCTTCAACAAGACACCGTGTGTTGTAGTTACCCAGCACTGATGTGCAGCTTCAACAAGACACCGTGTGTTGTAGTTACCCAGCACTGATGTGCAGCTTCAACAAGACACCATGTGTTGTAGTTACCCAGCACTGATGTGCAGCTTCAACAAGACACCGTGTGTTGTAGTTACCCAGCACTGATGTGCAGCTTCAACAAGACACCGTGTGTTGTAGTTACCCAGCACTGATGTGCAGCTTCAACAAGACACCGTGTGTTGTAGTTACCCAGCACTGATGTGCAGCTTCAACAAGACACCGTGTGTTGTGGTTACCCAGCGCTGATGTAGAGCTTCACTATGACACCATGTGCTGTAGTTACTCAGTGCTGATGTGCAGCTTCAACAAGACACCGTGTGTTGTAGTTACCCAGCATTGATGTGCAGCTTCAACAAGACACCGTGTGTTGTGGTTACCCAGCATTGATGTGCAGCTTCAACAAGACACCGTGTGTTGTGGTTACCCAGCATTGATGTGCAGCTTCAACAAGACACCGTGTGTTGTAGTTACCCAGCATTGATGTGCAGCTTCAACAAGACACCGTGTGTTGTGTTACCCAGCATGATGTGCAGCTTCAACAAGACACCGTGTGTTGTGTTACCCAGCATTGATGTGCAGCTTCAAAAGACACCGTGTGTTGTAGTTACCCAGCACTGATGTGCAGCTTCAACAAGACACCGTGTGTTGTGGTTACCCAGCACTGATGTGCAGCTTCAAGAAGACACCGTGTGTTGTAGTTACCCAGCACTGATGTGCAGCTTCAACAAGACACCGTGTGTTGTGGTTACCCAGCATTGATGTGCAGCTTCAACAAGACACCGTGTGTTGTAGTTACCCAGCATTGATGTGCAGCTTCAACAAGACACCGTGTGTTGTAGTTACCCAGCACTGATGTGCAGCTTCAACAAGACACCGTGTGTTGTGGTTACCCAGCACTGATGTGCAGCTTCAAAAGACACCGTGTGTTGTAGTTACCCAGCACTGATGTGCAGCTTCAACAAGACACCGTGTGTTGTGGTTACCCAGCACTGATGTGCAGCTTCAACAAGACACCGTGTGTTGTAGTTACCCAGCACTGATGTGCAGCTTCAACAAGACACCGTGTGTTGTGGTTACCCAGCACTGATGTGCAGCTTCAACAAGACACCGTGTGTTGTGTTACCCAGCACTGATGTGCAGCTTCAACAAGACACCGTGTGTTGTGTTACCCAGCACTGATGTGCAGCTTCAACAAGACACCGTGTGTTGTAGTTACCCAGCACTGATGTGCAGCTTCAACAAGACACCGTGTGTTGTAGTTACCCAGCACTGATGTGCAGCTTCAACAAGACACCGTGTGTTGTAGTTACCCAGCACTGATGTGCAGCTTCAACAAGACACCGTGTGTTGTAGTTACCCAGCACTGATGTGCAGCTTCAACAAGACACCGTGTGTTGTTGTTACCCAGCACTGATGTGCAGCTTCAACAAGACACCGTGTGGTGTAGTTACCCAGCACTGATGTGCAGCTTCAACAAGACACCGTGTGTTGTAGTTACCCAGCACTGATGTGCAGCTTCAACAAGACACCGTGTGTTGTAGTTACCCAGCACTGATGTGCAGCTTCAACAAGACACCGTGTGTTGTAGTTACCCAGCACTGATGTGCAGCTTCAACAAGACACCGTGTGTTGTAGTTACCCAGCACTGATGTGCAGCTTCAACAAGACACCGTGTGTTGTAGTTACCCAGCACTGATGTGCAGCTTCAACAAGACACCGTGTGTTGTGGTTACCCAGCATTGATGTGCAGCTTCAACAAGACACCGTGTGTTGTGGTTACCCAGCACTGATGTGCAGCTTCAACAAGACACCGTGTGTTGTAGTTACCCAGCACTGATGTGCAGCTTCAACAAGACACCGTGTGTTGTGGTTACCCAGCACTGATGTGCAGCTTCAACAAGACACCGTGTGTTGTAGTTACCCAGCACTGATGTGCAGCTTCAACAAGACACTGTGTGTTGTAGTTACCCAGCACTGATGTGCAGCTTCAACAAGACACCGTGTGTTGTAGTTACCCAGCACTGATGTGCAGCTTCAACAAGACACCGTGTGTTGTAGTTACCCAGCATTGATGTGCAGCTTCAACAAGACACCGTGTGTTGTAGTTACCCAGCACTGATGTGCAGCTTCAACAAGACACCGTGTGTTGTAGTTACCCAGCACTGATGTGCAGCTTCAACAAGACACCGTGTGTTGTAGTTACCCAGCACTGATGTGCAGCTTCAACAAGACACCGTGTGTTGTAGTTACCCAGCACTGATGTGCAGCTTCAACAAGACACCGTGTGTTGTGGTTACCCAGCACTGATGTGCAGCTTCAACAAGACACCGTGTGTTGTAGTTACCCAGCACTGATGTGCAGCTTCAACAAGACACCGTGTGTTGTAGTTACCCAGCACTGATGTGCAGCTTCAACAAGACACCGTGTGTTGTAGTTACCCAGCACTGATGTGCAGCTTCAACAAGACACCGTGTGTTGTAGTTACCCAGCACTGATGTGCAGCTTCAACAAGACACCGTGTGTTGTAGTTACCCAGCACTGATGTGCAGCTTCAACAAGACACCTCAGTAACAGAATATATTTGCTGAAAAGTTTTTAGAGCACTTTCTTTATCAATTACCAAGCTTTATACTATCCTGGTCCATCATGGTCCAGCCTGGTCCATCCTGGTCCATTTTGGTTCAGCCCAGCCTGGTGCAGCGGGGCCCAGCCTGGTCCAGCCTGGCCTTGCAGCAATAGGAAAATTCTTAAAACCTGTTAAAATTATATTCAAGGTATACTGATTAATAATCCTTTTTTTTAAGTCTCATTGGACAAGCGACCTTATTCAGCATACATCAGTTTGCAATGGAAAAATATCTTTTACTCTGAGATAATTTAATTAATTTTCCAAGTGATCTATTTTGCAAATTTCTGCTGAGACTTTATCTCGTCCACTTGTATTTAGCACAGCTATATTACTTGTATTTAGCACAGCTATATTACAAGATCTTTCATTGTGTTACAGCTCAGACTGGCAAATTAGTTTTTCTGCCCACTGTCCTCGGACCTATTATGTTGGTTTAAGTTAATTTAGCAGTTTTATTTAGCACCTCATTTATATGATGTGGGGTGTAATAAAAACTCTGACACAATGTGTCCAGGGACTAGTTCCAAGAAATGGTAGCTAAGCAAGTTATAGTGGTAATGATCTGCTATTTATTTTTGATCTAGTCATAATGAGTTGCACCTTTGTAATCTTTTGAGTACTGTCCATACCAGTATCCATCCCATATTACCAAGATAACGGAAGCACCTAATGGGTCCATGAACAGTGTAGCCAGTTAATGGTAGCTAAGCTACCATTACTGTACTCATCCGAGTACAGTTGTAATGAGTTGTCTGCGTAATCTCTGATTTACCGCCCTCAAGATTAAGTATGGGAGCGAGTACCAAAGTCATTCAACGAAATCACTGGTCTTTGTGTTGCAGGTTCGCAAAGTGTTGGCACGGCGAGAAGTGATAGTGTCAGCAGGAGCTGTTGGTTCCCCTCACCTGCTGATGGTGTCAGGTATCGGCCCGGCTCAGCACCTCACTCAGCATGGGGTCAGTAATGCTCTAATACTGACGTGCTTTTTTTATATATAGAAATTGTGATTTTTTCTTATAAAGTGGCGAGTGTTGTCTCAGACAAGCTGAATGTTGTCTCAGACAAGCTGAATGTTGTCTACATGCTGAATGTTTTCTCAGACAAGCTGAATGTTGTCTCAGACAAGCTGAATGTTGTCTCAGACAAGCTGAATGTTGTCTCAGACAAGCTGAATGTTGTCTCAGACAAGCTGAATGTTGTCTCAGACAAGCTGAATGTTGTCTCAGACAAGCTGAATGTTGTCTCAGACAAGCTGAATGTTGTCTGAGACAAGCTGAATGTTGTCTCAGACAAGCTGAATGTTGTCTCAGACAAGCTGAATGTTGTCTCAGACAAGCTGAATGTTGTCTAAGACAAGCTGAATGTTGTCTCAGACAAGCTGAATGTTGTCTCAGACAAGCTGAATGTTGTCTCAGACAAGCTGAATGTTGTTCAGACAAGCTGAATGTTGTCTCAGACAAGCTGAATGTTGTCTCAGACAAGCTGAATGTTGTCTCAGACAAGCTGAATGTTGTCCAGACAAGCTGAATGTTGTCTCAGACAAGCTTTAATGTTGTCTAAGACAAGCTGAATGTTGTCTCAGACAAGCTGAATGTTGTCTAAGACAAGCTGAATGTTGTCTCAGACAAGCTGAATGTTGTGTCAGACAAGCTGAATGTTGTCTCAGACAAGCTGAATGTTGTCTAAGACAAGCTGAATGTTGTCTCAGACAAGCTGAATGTTTTCTTCTCAGACAGCTGAATGTTGTCTACAAGCTGAATGTTGTCTGAGACAAGCTGAATGTTGTCTCAGACAAGCTGAATGTTGTCTCAGACAAGCTGAATGTTGTCTCAGACAAGCTGAATGTTGTCTCAGACAAGCTGAATGTTGTCTCAGACAAGCTGAATGTTGTCTCAGACAAGCTGAATTTGTCTCAGACAAGCTGAATGTTGTCTCAGACAAGCTGAATGTTGTCTCAGACAAGCTGAATGTTGTCTCAGACAAGCTGAATGTTGTCTCAGACAAGCTGAATGTTGTCTCAGACAAGCTGAATGTTGTCTACAAGCTGAATGTTGTCTCAGACAAGCTGAATGTTGTCTCAGACAAGCTGAATGTTGTCTCAGACAAGCTGAATGTTGTCTCAGACAAGCTGAATGTTGTCTCAGACAAGCTGAATGTTATCTCAGACAAGCTGAATGTTGTCTCAGACAAGCTGAATGTACTTCGCTGATGAACACAGGGAAATTGATATATTTTTCATTGATGTTTAATACCCTCGTGTAATACTAATTTAGGCTAACCTCAAATAGATTGGGTGAAATTAAGTTAAAGTGCATGAGATTAGTTTTACCAAAGTTAGACTAAGTTGGTAATTAATGTTGGTGGCGGTGAAGGCAGTACATACTGAAAAGGGAAGTGATGTAAGAGGGAATTATCTTCCAATCTGTTTGTATAGTTTGTCAATTGTTTTAGCATTTAAAGATATGGGTACAATATCGCCACGAGGAGAAAGGTTGGGTATGTTGCCCTTGTTTCCTGGCATTAACAATAAATAGGTACATGGGTAGTAGGCGACTGTTCACAGTTGCATGCTGGGGATAGGGTCTCACTGCAAATAAGCTTCAGCGATTGGTTTCCTTGGGTTGTCCTGAGTTATTAACCCAAGTAAATCTTCGAAACTACTACTACCACATTGTAATTAAACTACTCCATAAATGAATTTCTCCACAATTAGTAAAGTTACTTATTTTTTTCCCAAATAAAAAATTTACACCCCAAAATAATCTCAAGTCGAGGGGACGTTCGCAATCCTTAGTCTTTAACGCCATATTAATCTCTGAATTACACTTTGCTACTTGCAGTTTTCAGTTTGCGATGAGCAGTGTGTAAATGGAAGGAGATTACATCATTCTCAAAGCAATATTTGCCTCACAAATTCAGACGTTGTTTCTTCATGACAGATACCAGTGGTGGTTGACCTGCCTGGAGTGGGCAGCAACCTGCAGGATCATCCCTCCATCTTTGGCCTCACCTGGACAGTTAAGCCAGGATCTGGTGTCAATCTCTTCAATCTAGTCAGTCCTGTGCACATCAAAAACTACGTCAACAACAGACAAGGTTCATTACTATTCTTTATAGTTGTGCTATTTTATAAGAGCTTGTGAACTTGGCCCATGAAGCAATGATAGTTTGGACAGTGTAAATTATTTTTTGGAATAACTCAACGAAAAATTAACATCACGAAATTTATGTATTTCATTAACGTTAAGTGATTCTAACCAAATTTAAGCTGACCTAAGATAGACTGAGTATAATTAGGCTAAATAATATTACATGAATTTTAGCAATACTAGTGGAGTTTGCTAACTCTATTTTGGCACTAAAAAAGTTTGAAGGAAACCTTAATTTGTTCATATTTTTTCTCCATTACATTTAGTGGAAACTGTCTTACTTCTAGATATCCTGACCCATATAAAGTTAGTTTGTTAAATTTTTTGAGAGTACGTATGATTATACTAGCAAACAACTGAGTCATAAGTCATGTTAGGTACAGCTGCTGTAACTGATGGCGCGTGTTTACTCACCAGGTCCTTTAACAAGTCCACTGGGAGTGGAGGCCAATGCCTGGAGCCTGGCTGAGGTGGGTGACCCCTATTGGCCTGACCTTCAGTACCTCTTCATATCCGGCACTCCGGCTCTTGATGATGGTCTCTTCATCACTGACATCATCGGCTTCAGGAGAGATGTAAGTTTATCACTGACGTCATCAGCTTCATGAGACATGTTTTGCCCCTTGGTAGCCTTTTTCATCTGTTTTGCGAGCTGTGAACATTGTCAATCTTATATTTCACTTTCTGTGAGTTTTATCAGTTAACTGGATTAACAAAGCTCACAGTGAGGAGGAAAATATTTGTTTAACAAAAATAACTTACGCTGCGTGTCATAATAACATACAACCTGCTACAGTAAATGCTCACATTGACTAGTCTTACTTCGTAAGTTGTTTGTTCTTCCTCCTTTGTATAATAATAATGGTGATACTAAACCCATAGGTGACATACAGTACCTGAGGAATGAGAGGTAATCAGGTCTGATCCAAGGAAAGAAAGATAGCTCAAGTTCCTTTAAATTAAGATCTCTTCACCAGCTTCAAGTCTCCCTCACACTTCTTGAAGTATTCTTGATATTTCTCCTTCCTCCTCTCCCAGTACACCATCTTGCCATCCCCTCAAGGAAAGCTGTTTGATTCCAGTAAAAGGGTCATGATCCAAGGAATGGGCCTATCCCTTCCATGGATTGAATCTGCAGTGCTCGTCATTACAATGTGCTGGGTGGAAAGTAACCTTCATACTTTGTCGACACTAATACCCCATCTTGGTAGGCGTCTTGGCCAGACAAAAAGTAATGCTGACGTTGGAAATGCGCTGTGTAGTCTTGAGTGCTGAAGTTGTCGGATATATTTGGCCACTGTCAAATTAATATGGTAAGAAGTCACTGACTCAAGAGACAATTGCACAGAACATTGGATCACATAAGGAAGCCTTCTAAAGAAACAAATGATAGAAGCCATGGATGTGTGTGAGCTTTCAGTGAGGGCCTGGTTGTGTCAGTCCTTTGAAGAGTGTTGATGACATGTCCACATCAAAAATAGTGCCCAAATTAGTGGCCTGGTTGCTAAAGCTCTCGCCAGGTTAGATACATGGATAGGGCATTCTGCTTGAAGGACAGGAGTAGGAGACAAAGGGTATGCTTTCCTGGGGCTGGGATGGAGGACATTGTTAGCCGGCTTGACAACATCATGAACGGTAATGGGATCAATCCTATTATTTGCCTCAGTGCTGGAGGCAATGATGTTGGCAAGCGTAGAAGTGAGGATTTAGTTAGAAAGTTCAGGACAGCTATAGACATGATTAGGAAGAAGGGGGGGCACCCTGTTATATGTGGCATTTTGCCAAGAAGAGGTGTTGGTAATGAATGGTTGTCCAGAGCAATTCGTATTAATTGTTGGCTGGATAAACACTGTAAGGATAATGCAGTACCATTCATTGACAACTGGGACAACTTCTATGGCCGAAATGACATGTATGCCAGGGATGGGGTTCACTTATCCAGGGCAGGTGTGGGTTTTCTTGCTAACTCAGTTGAGGGGATATTTAGGACTTTAAACTAGGATTAGTTAGAGGTATGGGTTTTTGCAGGAAAACTGTGAAGTCGCAGGGTAGTAATATGAGTACTAGGAGAACTAGTAATAGGCAAAATGAGGTGGATATTGGAAAGCCAGTGGCACTAATTGACAAGGACAGTAATAGGTTTAGTGGAATAATAGAAAGGAGCAGGAAGGGTAAAGAGAGAGGAGGGTCATTAAAAGTTTATTACACAAATAGTCGCAGTGCTAGGAATAAGATGGGCGAGTTGAGACTAGTTGCTAGTGCAGGTAACATAGATGTATTTGCCATTACTGAGACGTGGTTTAATTCAAAAAGTCGGGACATGCCTGCAGAATGTCACATTCAGGGTTTTAAATTGTTCCAAGTAGATAGAAGTATCGGGAAGGGGGGTGGGGTGGCATTGTATGTCCGAGATCGCTTGAACTGTTGCATAAAAACGGGTATTAAGTCTGAAGTAACACATACAGAGTCTGTTTGGATAGAATTTTCAGAGGGGCATGAAAAATTAATTTTAGGTGTGATATACCGTCCCCCAAATTTAGATAGGGACCAAGGGAGACTACTATGGGAGGAAATTGTTAGGGCCACAAGGCACGATAATGTAGTAATTCTAGGAGACTTTAACTTTAGTCATATTGATTGGAATTTCTTGACTGGGAATTTAGAATCATACGATTTCTTAGAAGTAGTTCAGGATTGTTTTTTGAAGCAGTTTGTGACAGAACCTACGAGGGGAAATAACCTGCTTGACTTAGTTCTGGCAAACAATGAATCCCTTGTTAATAATTTAGAAGTTTCAGAGGAACTGGGTGCTAGCGACCACAAATCAATTACATTTAGAATTGAATGGAAGTATGATAGTAGGGATAACTCAGTAACAGTCCCAGATTTTCGCTTAGCAGATTACGATGGGCTTAGAGAACACTTATCATCTGTTGACTGGGGTAACGAAGAGAGCTATCAATGTGACAGTTTTCTGAACACAATACATGCTGCTCAAAGAACGTTTATCCCTTATAAGGAATTTAGATCAAATAGAAATGACCCTAAATGGATGAATAATAGGCTGAAATATCTACTAGGGCATAAGAAAGGAATTTACAGGCGTATCAAAAGAGGCGAGGGTCATCTTATGAATCAGTATATTGACATTAAGAGGGACATTAAAAAGGGGATAAGAAAAGCTAAAAGGGACTATGAAATTAAAGTTGCTAGGGATTCTAAAACTAATCCAAAAAGTTTTTTCCAGGTATATAGAACAAAAGTCAGAGATAAGATAGGTCCCCTTAAAAATAACTATGGGCATCTTACTTACAAAGAGAATGAAATGTGCTCGATTTTAAATAATTATTTTCTCTCGGTTTTTACACAGGAAGACACTAATAATATTCCGGTAATTAATTTTTATAGTGGATCAGAAGAAGATAAATTATGTAACATCACAGTCACTAGTGAAATGGTTGTGAAGCAGATAGACCGACTGAAGCAAAATAAGTCACCGGGTCCTGATGAGGTTTTTTCAAGGGTTCTTAAGGAATGCAAAATGGAACTCTGTGAACCATTAACTAATATTTTTAATTTATCTCTTCAAACAGGTGTAGTGTCTGATATGTGGAAGATGGCTAATGTAATTCCTATTTTTAAAACAGGGGACAAGTCGTTACCGTCAAATTACCGCCCAATAAGCCTGACCTCAATTGTAGGCAAGTTGCTAGAGTCAATTATAGCTGAGATTATAAGAAGCCATCTCGATAAGCATAGCTTGATTAATGATACTCAGCATGGATTCACAAGAGGCCGGTCTTGTCTAACTAATTTATTAACTTTCTTCAGTAAAGCTTTTGAGGCTGTTGACCACGATAAAGAATTTGATATTGTTTACTTAGATTTTAGTAAGGCATTTGATAGAGTTCCGCACCAAAGACTGTTGAAGAAAGTAGCAGCTCATGGCATTGGGGGAGGGTGCTCTCGTGGATCGAGTCATGGCTCACTGACAGGAAGCAGAGAGTGTCCATAAATGGGGTTAAATCCGAGTGGGGATCAGTAACAAGTGGCGTTCCACAGGGATCAGTCTTGGGCCCGTTGTTGTTTATAATATATATCAATGATCTTGATGAAGGAATTGCTAGTGATATGAGCAAATTCGCCGATGACACGAAGATAGGTAGGATAATTGATTCAAACGTAGATGTTAGGGAACTTCAGGAGGATTTAGACAAACTCTACTCTTGGTCAGAAAAGTGGCAGATGCAGTTCAATGTGGATAAATGCAAGGTTCTGAAGCTCGGGAGTGTCTATAACCCTAGCACTTATAAGTTAAATAATGTAGAGCTTAGCCATACAGATTGCGAAAGGGACTTGGGGGTTATGGTAAGCAGCAACCTTAAACCAAGACAGCAATGCCTAAGCGTACGTAATAAGGCAAATAGATTACTGGGATTTATATCAAGAAGTGTAAGCAACAGAAGTCCAGAGGTCATACTGCAGCTTTATACATCATTAGTAAGGCCTCACCTAGATTATGCAGCTCAATTCTGGTCTCCATATTACAGAATGGACATAAATTCGTTAGAAAACATTCAGCGTAGGATGACTAAATTAATACATAGCATTAGAAATCTTCCTTATGAAGAAAGATTGAAGACTTAAGTTACATTCACTTGTTAGACGAAGAATGAGGGGAGACCTGATCGAAGTGTATAAGTGGAAGATAGGTATTAATAAAGGGGATATTAACAAGGTCTTGAGGATATCTCTCCAAGAGAGAACCCGCAGTAATGGATTTAAATTAGATAAGTTTAGATTTAGAAAGGACATAGGAAAGTATTGGTTTGGAAATAGGGTAGTTGATGAGTGGAACAGTCTACCTAGTTGGGTTATTGAGGCTAGGACTTTGGGTAGTTTCAAATTTAGGTTGGATAAGTACATGAGTGGGAGGGGTTGGATTTGAGTGGGACTTGCACATCGGAGCTTGTTTCTTGGGTGGCATTGAAAATTGGGTTGGGCAAATGTTTTGTTAGTGGGATGAATTGTAAAGGACCTGCCTAGTATGGGCCAACAGGCCTGCTGCAGTGTTCCTCCTTTCTTATGTTCTTATGTTCTTATGTTCCCACGGCGAGAGTCTGGGTTCGATTCCCGACGAGAGTAGAAGCATTGGGCGTGTTTCCAGACACAGGTTGTCTATGATCCTCATCAGTAAAATGGGTACCTGGGTGTTAGTCGACTGGTGTGGGTCGCATCCTGGGACTGACTTAATTTGCCCGAAATCCTCAGCATAACAAGCGGCTTTCTATTATAGTAGTGTGTCACTGATGTCAGCTAAGCCTATATACCTTGTACATGTACTTGTAGAAATATATTATTATTATTATTATTATTATTATTATTATTATTATTATTATTATTATTATTATTATTATTATTATTATTAAAACACATCGAGAGGAACCAAGAAAAAAGTCTCCACTAACATAAACTATAAGAACATAAGAACATAAGAAAGGAGGAACACTGCAGGAGGCCTGTTGGCCCGTACTAGGCAGGTCCTTTACAATTCATCCCACTAAAAAAACATTTGCCCAACCCAATTTTCAATGCTACGCAAGAAATAAGCTCTGATGTGAAAGTCCCACTCAAATCCAACCCCTCCCACTCATGTACTTATCCAACCTAAATTTGAAACTACCCAAAGTCCCAGCCTCAATAACCCAACTACTTTCCTATGTCCTTTCTAAATCTAAACTTGTCTAATTTAAATCCATTACTGCGGGTTCTCTCTTGGAGAGACATCCTCAAGACCTTATTAATATCCCCTTTATTAATACCTATCTTCCACTTATACACTTCGATCAGGTCTCCCCTCATTCTTCGTCTAACAAGTGAATGTAACTTAAGAGTCTTCAATCTTTCTTCATAAGGAAGATTTCTAATGCTATGTATTAATTTAGTCATCCTACGCTGAATGTTTTCTAACGAATTTATGTCCATTCTGTAATATGGAGACCAGAACTGAGCTGCATAATCTGGGTGAGGCCTTACTAATGATGTATAAAACTGCAGTATGACCTCTGGACTTCTGTTGTTTACACTTCTTGATATAAATCCCAGTATTCTATTTGCCTTTTTACGTACTCTTAGGCATTGCTGTCTTGGTTTAAGGTTGCTGCTCACCATAACCCCCAAGTCCTTTTCGCAATCTGTATGGCTAAGTTCTACATCATTTAACTTATAAGTACTAGGGTTATGGGCACTCCCAAGCTTCAGAACCTTGCATTTATCTACATTGAACTGCATCTGCCACTTTTCTGACCAAGAATAGAGTTTGTTTAAATCCTCCTGAAGTTCCATAACATCTACGTTTGAATCAATTATCCTACCTATCTTTGTGTCATCGGCGAATTTGCTCATATCACTAGCAATTCCCTCATCAAGATCATTGATATATATTATAAACAACAAAGGACCCAAGACTGATCCCTGTGGAACGCCACTTGTTACTGATCCCCACTCGGATTTAACCCCATTTATGGACACTCTCTGCTTCCTGTAAGTGAGCCATGACTCGATCCACGAGAGCACTTTTCCCCCAATGCCATGAGCTGCCACTTTCTTTAACAGTCTATGGTGCGGAACTCTATCAAAAACCTTACTAAAATCTAAGTAAATAATTTCAAATTCTTTATCGTGGTCAACAGCCTCAAAAGCTTTACTGAAGAAAGTTAATAAATTAGTTAGACAAGACCGGCCTCTTGTGAATCCATGCTGAGTATCATTAATCAAGCTATGCTTATCGAGATGGCTTCTTATAATCTCAGCTATAATTGACTCTAGTAATTTGCCTACAATTGAGGTCAGGCTTATTGGGTGGTAATTTGACGGTAACGACTTGTCCCCTGTTTTAAAAATAGGAATTACATTAGCCATCTTCCACATATCAGACACTACACCTGTTTGAAGAGATAAATTAAAAATATTAGTTAATGGTTCACAGAGTTCCATTTTGCATTCCTTAAGAACCCTTGAAAAAACCTCATCAGGACCCGGCGACTTATTTTGCTTTAGTCTGTCTATCTGCTTCACAACCATTTCACTAGTGACTGTGATGTTACATAATTTATCTTCTTCTAGCCTACTATAAAAATTAATTACTGGAATACTGTTAGTGTCTTCCTGTGTAAAAACTGAGAGAAAATAATTATTAAAAATCGAGCACATTTCATTCTCTTTGTCAGTAAGGTGCCCATAGTTATTTTTAAGGGGACCTATCTTATCTCTAACTTTTGTCCTATAGACCTGGAAAAAATTTTTTGGGTTAGTTTTAGAATCCCTAGCAACTTTAATTTCATAGTCCCTTTTAGCTTTTCTTATCCCCTTTTTAATGTCCCTCTTAATGTCAATATACTGATTCATAAGATGACCCTCACCTCTTTTGATACGCCTATAAATTCCTTTCTTATGCCCTAGTAGATATTTGAGCCTATTATTCATCCATTTTGGGTCATTTCTATTTGATCTAATTTCTTTATATGGGATAAACGTTCTTTGAGCAGCATGTAAAGTGTTCAGAAAACTGTCATATTGATAGCTCACTTCGTTACCCCAGTCAACAGATGATAAGTGTTCTCTAAGCCCATCGTAATCTGCTAAGCGAAAATCTGGGACTGTTACTGAGTTATCGCTACTATGCTAAATGTAATTGACTTGTGGTCGCTAGCACCCAGTTCCTCTGAAATTTCTAAATTATTAACAAGGGATTCATTGTTTGTCATAACTAAGTCAAGCAGGTTATTTCCCCTTGTAGGTTCTGTCACAAACTGCTTCAAAAAACAATCCTGAACTACTTCTAAGAAGTCGTATGATTCTATATTCCCAGTCAAGAAATTCCAATCAATATGACTAAAGTTAAAGTCTCCTAGAATTACTACATTATCGTGCCTTGTGGCTTTAACAATTTCCTCCCATAGTAGTCTCCCTTGGTCTCTATCTAAGTTTGGGGGACGGTATATCACTCCTAAAATCAGTTTTTCATGCCCCTCTGAAAATTCTATCCAAACAGACTCTGTATGTGTTACTTCAGACTTAATACCCGTTTTTATGCAACAGTTCAAGCGATCTCGGACATACAATGCCACCCCACCCCCCTTCTCGATACTTCTATCTACTTGGAACAATTTAAAACCCTGAATATGACATTCCGCAGGCATGTCCCGACTTTTTGAAATAAACCACGTCTCAGTTAAGGCAAATACATCAATGTTACCTGCACTAGCAACTAATCTCAACTCGCCCATCTTATTCCTAGCAATACGGCAATTAGCATAATAAACATTGAAAGACTCTCCTTTCTCTTTACCCTTCCTGCTCATTTCTGTTTTTCTACTAAACCTATTACTGTCCTTATCACCCAAAGTCCCTGGCTTTTCAATATATACCTCGTTCTGCTTATTACTAGTTCCCCTAGAACTCGTAATATTACTACACTGGGACTTCACTGTTTTCCTGCCAAAACCCATACCACTAACTATTCCTAGTTTAAAGTCCTAACTGCTCCCTCCACTGCAGTTGCCAGTGCTACCACCCCAGACCTAGATAAGTGAACCCCAAATCTGGCATACATGTCATTTCTGCCATAGAAGAGGTCCCAGTTGTCAATGAATGTTACCGCATTTTCCTTACAGTATTTGTCCAGCCAGCAATTGACACCAATTGCCCTGGACAACCATTCATTTCCAACTCCTCTCCTTGGCAAAATACCACATATGACAGGGTTCCCACCCTTACTCCTAATTATTTCTATTGCTGACCTATACCTGCTAATCAGGTCTTCACTCCTACGTCTGCCAACATCGTTGCCTCCAGCACTGAGACAGATAATAGGATTGCTCCCATTACCTCTGATGATGTAATCCAGACGGTTAACAATATTCTCCATACTAGCCCCAGGAAAGCAAACTCTCTGTCTCCTACTCCTGTCCTTCAAGCAGAACGCCCTATCCATATACCTAACTTGGCTATCCCCAACAACAACAATATTCTTACCTTCCTTGGTGTCGTTCGTCGTGTTGTTCCCAGTAGTCGACTCACATTCGTCGGGTAGCACTGAGAATGTATTAGATGTTTCCACAACAGTTTCCACGGCAGACTCTTTCTTCTTCATCGTTTCTGCCTTTCCATTCGTCTTCTTGATCGTCAACTTCGTTCCCTGCTGTCCAGCCACTGACCAGTTTCCCTTCTTGACCTGAGGACTCAAAACAGGAGGACTACTACGAATCTTCTTGTTTTCCTCGGTCAGTCGCCGAATCTTCATCTTCACCATCCTCAATTCTTCCTTAAGCTGTTGGTAAAGTTGCTCGATGGAGGGCATCTTGCTTCAATTCGTAGAGAGCGCGCAAACAGGTCTTCACAGAGCTAAGTACACGTCAACACTGCGCAAAAGCCAACTCAATCAGTAGCTACTGTGCAGCACGTCTGCACGGTGTAGTGTACCTAGAATTGCTCTGTGCTCATTTGCCAGAATCCTTCACAAAGTGTGGTGCAAAGATTTCATGAAAGACAGTGCTCCTTGCTACACTGCGAAATCTATCGTTCAGTGGCTTCTTGACTGTGAGGAAGCTTACTTCGATATCTGGCCAAGACTTGAACCCCATTCAGAACCTCCGGGTTGTGAAAAATTTACTAGGGATATGATATCAGGCCACTCCACAGCTGGAGCACGCCACCTGTAAGTCATGGGGGAATTTACCCCATGAAACTGAAGAATGCGCATTAGTCACTTAAAAGATAGTTAGAGGATGTCCTAACCCTCAAGGAACAACCTATTTTGTGGTCGTGGTTTAAGAGAGGACCGAAATACTTTAATGTATTTTGTGGTCGTGGTTTAAGAGAAGACCGAAATACTTTAATGTATTTTGTGGTCGTTGTTTAAGAGAGGACCGAAATACTTTAATGTATTTTGTGGTCGTGGTTTAAGAGAGGACCTACAGACTTTAATGTATTTTGTGGTCGTGGTTTAAGGGAAGACCGAAATACTTTAATGTATTTTGTGGTCGTTGTTTAAGAGAGGACCGAAATACTTTAATGTATTTTGTGGTCGTGGTTTAAGAGAGGACCTACAGACTTTAATGTATTTTGTGGTCATGGTTTAAGAGAAGGCCTACATATTTTAATGACGAACACCGTAATTGTCTGCTGTTTTCCCAGGCGCTGTATCAACCTAATATTTTAATACATCCCCCTAATTAATAATTATCCCATCTGCTCAAACTCCCATAGTTCTTCCATAGATATTTTGGCCCAATTAAAGGTCAGCAGGGGTTCAACATTGGGCCCATGCTGACTCGACCAAAGAGCCGGGGAACCGTACGGCTGAGGTCAAGAAACCCTCGTGACCCTCCACTCATTGACCCTAACTTCCTGAGCCATCCTGATGATGTCACCACCTTCATACGGGGTAAGTCGCTGACATTCGTTTATCGTAATTGCTAATTCTGTTCTAAATTATTTTTTTTAGTGTAATCAGAGGTGTTAACTTACAGGGGTTATACAGTACCTTAGAGAGCCTTCACATACTGGGATTATTATTGCTGCTGTGTGATTAAATTCAACGTGATTTTTTTTCTTTATAGCCAGTCCTGCAGTATAGAACAGGCATCTTAATCTACCGATAATAATAATAATAATAATAATAATAATATAATAATAATAATAATAATAATAATAATAATAATTGTTATTTATTTTATTATAATTAATTATTATTATTACAATCAGAAATAAGCTCTAAACCCTACAGGAAGATGATAGAGCAGAGTTACTAGTGTAAGAGACAGTCAACAAGGGCAGCAGGAGCGGTAAAAGGAAAATATAATGAACGATGTTGTAATAAAATAGTCGACAACAAAAAGTCAAAGAGAGAGTCTACATCGTAGACAGAGTCTACATCGTAGACAGAGTCTACATCGTAGACAGAGTCTACGTCGTAGACAGAGTCTACGTCGTAGACAGAGTCTACGTCGTAGACAGAGTACGTCGTAGACAGAGTCTACGTCGTAGACAGAGTCTACATCGTAGACAGAGTCTGTATCATAGAGAGAGTCTACATCAAAGAGAGAGTCTACATCAAAGAGAGAGTCTACATCAAAAAGAGTCTACAGCATAGAGTCTACATCAAAGAGAGAGTCCACATCAAAGAGAGAGTCTACATCAAAGAGAAAGTCTACATCAAAGAGAGAGTCTACATCAAAGAGAGAGTCTACATCAAAGAGAGAGTCTACATCAAAGAGAGAGTCTACATCAAAGAGAAAGTCTTCATCAAAGAGAGAGTCTACATCAAAGAGAGAGTCTACATCAAAGAGAGAGTCTACATCAAAGAGAGAGTCTACATCAAAGAGAGAGTCTACATCAAAGAGAGAGTCTACATCAAAGAGAGAGTCTACATCAAAGCGAGAGTCTGCATCAAAGAGAGAGTCTACATCAAAGAGAGAGTCTACATCAAAGAGAGAGTCTACATCAAAGAGAGAGTCTACATCAAAGAGAGAGTCTACATCAAAGAGAGAGTCTACATCAAAGAGAGAGTCTACATCAAAAAGAGTCTACAGCATAGAGTCTACATCAAAGAGAGAGTCTACATCAAAGAGAGAGTCTACATCAAAGAGACAGTCTTCATCAAAGAGAGAGTCTACATCAAAGAGACAGTCTTCATCAAAGAGAGAGTCTACATCAAAGAGAGAGTCTACATCAAAGAGAGAGTCTACATCAAAGAGAGACTCTACATCAAAGAGAGAGTCTACATCAAAGAGAGAGTCTACATCAAAGAGAGAGTCTACATCAAAGAGAGAGTCTACATCAAAGAGAGAGTCTTCATCAAAGAGAGAGTCTACATCAAAAAGAGTCTACAGCATAGAGTCTACATCAAAGAGAGAGTCTACATCAAAGAGAGAGTCTACATCAAAGAGAGAGTCTTCATCAAAGAGAGAGTCTACATCAAAAAGAGTCTACAGCATAGAGTCTACATCAAAGAGAGAGTCTACATCAAAGAGAGAGTCTACATCAAAGCGAGAGTCTGCATCAAAGAGAGAGTCTACATCAAAGAGAGAGTCTACATCAAAGAGAGAGTCTACATCAAAGAGAGAGTCTACATCAAAGCGAGAGTCTGCATCAAAGAGAGAGTCTACATCAAAGAGAGAGTCTACATCAAAAAGAGTCTACAGCATAGAGTCTACATCAAAGAGAGAGTCTACATCAAAGAGAGAGTCTACATCAGGTTGAATACCAGTACTCTTAGTCATGGAATTCCAGGTTGGGTATTAGTTCTCTTAGCCATGGAAGGCCACGTTGGGTATTTGTACTCTTAGCCATGGAAGGCCAGGTTGGGTATTTGTACTCTTAGTCATGGAAGGCCAAGCTGGGTACCAGTACTCTTAGCCATGGAAGGCCAGGTTGGGTATTTGTACTCTTAGTCATGGAAGGCCAAGCTGGGTACCAGTACTCTTAGCCATGGAAGGCCAGGTTGGGTATTTGTACTCTTGGTCATGGAGGGCCAGACTGTGTACCAGTACTCATAGTCATGGAAGTCCAGGTTGGGTACCAGTACTCTTAGTCATGGAAGTCCAGGCTGGGCACCAGTACTTTTTGTCACGGAAGTCCAGGCTGGGTACCAGTAATCTTTGTCATGGAGGGTCAGACTGTGTACCAGTACTCATAGTCATGGAAGTCCAGGCTGAGTACCAGTACTCTTAGTCATGGAAGTCCAGGCTGGGTACCAGTACTCTTAGTCATGGAAGTCCAGGCTGGGTACCAGTAATCTTTGTCATGGAAGGCCAGGCTGGGTACCAGCAATCTTTGTCATGGAAGGCCAGGCTGGGTACCAGTAATCTTTGTCATGGAAGGCCAGGCTGGGTACCAGCAATCTTTGTCATGGAAGGACAGGCTGGGTACCAGCAATCTTTGTCATGGAAGGCCAGGCTGGGTACCAGCAATCTTTGTCATGGAAGGACAGGCTGGGTACCAGCAATCTTTGTCATGGAAGGCTAGGCTGGGTACCAGCAATCTTTGTCATGGAAGGCCAGGCTGGGTACCAGCAATCTTTGTCATGGAAGGCCAGGCTGGGTACCAGCAATCTTTGTCATGGAAGACCAGGCTGGGTACCAGCAATCTTTGTCATGGAAGGCCAGGCTGGGTACCAGCAATCTTTGTCATGGAAGGCCAGGCTGGGTACCAGCAATCTTTGTCATGGAAGGCCAGGCTGGGTACCAGCAATCTTTGTCATGGAAGGCCAGGCTGGGTACCAGCAATCTTTGTCATGGAAGGCCAGGCTGGGTACCAGCAATCTTTGTCATGGAAGGCCAGGCTGGGTACCAGCAATCTTTGTCATGGAAGGACAGGCTGGGTACCAGCAATCTTTGTCATGGAAGGCCAGGCTGGGTACCAGCAATCTTTGTCATGGAAGGCCAGGCTGGGTACCAGTAATCTTTGTCATGGAAGGCCAGGCTGGGTACCAGTAATCTTTGTCATGGAAGGCCAGGCTGGGTACCAGCAATCTTTGTCATGGAAGGCCAGGCTGGGTACCAGCAATCTTTGTCATGGAAGGCCAGGCTGGGTACCAGTAATCTTTGTCATGGAAGGCCAGGCTGGGTACCAGCAATCTTTGTCATGGAAGGCCAGGCTGGGTACCAGCAATCTTTGTCATGGAAGGCCAGGCTGGGTACCAGCAATCTTTGTCATGGAAGACCAGGCTGGGTACCAGCAATCTTTGTCATGGAAGACCAGGCTGGGTACCAGCAATCTTTGTCATGGAAGACCAGGCTGGGTACCAGCAATCTTTGTCATGGAAGACCAGGCTGGGTACCAGCAATCTTTGTCATGGAAGACCAGGCTGGGTACCAGCAATCTTTGTCATGGAAGACCAGGCTGGGTACCAGTAATCTTTGTCATGGAAGGACAGGCTGGGTACCAGCAATCTTTGTCATGGAAGACCAGGCTGGGTACCAGCAATCTTTGTCATGGAAGACCAGGCTGGGTACCAGCAATCTTTGTCATGGAAGACCAGGCTGGGTACCAGCAATCTTTGTCATGGAAGACCAGGCTGGGTACCAGTAATCTTTGTCATGGAAGGACAGGCTGGGTACCAGCAATCTTTGTCATGGAAGACCAGGCTGGGTACCAGCAATCTTTGTCATGGAAGACCAGGCTGGGTACCAGTAATCTTTGTCATGGAAGGCCAGGCTGGGTACCAGCAATCTATGTCATGGAAGGACAGGCTGGGTACCAGCAATCTTTGTCATGGAAGGACAGGCTGGGTACCAGCAATCTTTGTCATGGAAGGACAGGCTGGGTACCAGCAATCTTTGTCATGGAAGGACAGGCTGGGTACCAGCAATCTTTGTCATGGAAGGCCAGGCTGGGTACCAGCAATCTATGTCATGGAAGGACAGGCTGGGTACCAGCAATCTTTGTCATGGAAGGACAGGCTGGGTACCAGCAATCTTTGTCATGGAAGGACAGGCTGGGTACCAGCAATCTTTGTCATGGAAGGACAGGCTGGGTACCAGTAATCTTAGAGAAGCCTCGCCACCTGTTTCCTTCATTCATCCATATTTTTGTGTTGACAAAAATATGCTTATCATCACGTGAATCACTGACACCTTACTGATTATACAAGTGCCTGGAGAATAGCAGTTAACCAGGTTTGAGCCAGTGAAAGGGCATGCGGGGGAGGTAAGCTTAACTTTCTTGGATCAACACCGTACTGAAAAAGTGGTGGTAGCTAACTATGTATGACAACCTGCGTAATGATTTTTCTTCTTGTACTTTTGGTCATGTTGTTATTTAAATGTACAACTTGGAAAATATTTATTCGCCCAATTTGTATTTGTATTCGTATGACATATTCAGTTCCTACTAACTGGATAAGATATTCATACATCTTTATAAAGTCAGCAAAATAGTGTACAAACACATAATTTATGTAAATACATTTCGAAACCAATAACACTTACAATAATCTAGTTGGTTATGATTATTTGCAGGTATAAAATTTTCTCTGGCAATTGGCAACACGTCAGCTCTGAAGACTGATCACGAAGCCAAATTCTACGATACGGTTAGTTTACATATTTTAATCTGGTAGTTATATAGTTTTACTGATAATATATGCTATTTTAAACTGGTATTTAGTCTTGTATTAATGTCATATGTTTTATTTATGAGTCTCTAAGTTAACATTGCCACCTACTTCTAGTGACATCGTTCATCAGGTTTGGAGAATTAACCATTATCACAAACTGATTTTGATATAACCACTTTAATAGATTTTGTATTTATGTTTATTGTAGATCAGATTTTAGGAATAATCTTCTTACGTGGTTTTTTAAAATGATTAATATGAGTTTTTGAGAGATAGATGTAACTCTTGTGTTAGTGTAATAATTTTTTTTTACAGACTAGAGAACTGAATAGCCTCATTAGCTAAAATGTTTTGTAAATTCGACAGTTTTTACCAATCATTAGCAGTGACTGATTACTGTTACTAAGTATTATTAACAATTACATACTTGCTTGGTCTTGTTATATACTTAATTATTCAGGTTTTGCCTGGATGTGAGAAGGAAGTATATGGATCTGATAGTTACTGGGCTTGCTTCACTCGACACATGGCCCAGACAACATTCCACCCAGCTGGTACCTGCAAGATGGCTCCACCTTCTGACCCTTACGGGGTTGTTGATCACACACTCAAGTAAGTGCACTTTTTTTTTTTAGCTACTATTGTCTTGAATACCTGAGTATAAAGCACAGTCAAAAAGTTGCAAACCAACTAAACAAAGTAATCTTGGAGCTGTTGTGGAAGTTTAATTTAGATTATCTGCATAATCTGCCTCTTGCTCTGCACTTAGTGTTATTCCTACAGTATTTTGATATCCTTCAGGTAGATGTCGGGAAAAACAGATATTTTCATGTATTTGAGTTCATTAATATTGAAACAGCTTCTATACAAATATTCTTTCTGTTCTGAGAAAGTTAGAACATAGGGAAGACCACAGGTTCAGTTTGTAAACAAGTGAAGCGATGTCATCAGTGTCACTGAAGTATCCTTCCCAAAGGCGTCCCATTCACTGACGCCTATAAAAAGCGCCAGTCTTCTTGCCTTTGCTCCAATCACTGAAGTAGATACTCTGGCTGGTTTTAACAATAGGTTAGACAAATACCCACTAGAGACACTTCTTAAAAATGCTCATAGTTTAAAATAAGTCCCTAAATGTCTTAATGAGTATGTCTCGCAACTCAAACCAATGTTTTACAAAACCACACTTATGCCTATAGAACATTATTCGAAGAAGCCCACCCATGGGTGACCCTTTAGGCCAATCAACTCCATTGTAATTATTGTTTTTACAATGTTCCAGTAGATGCCTTCCTTCAAGGAAGTCTTGCATCCATTTTACAGTCGTCTAAATCTTCTAAAACTATCATATACTATGCTAAATTATTGTACCAAACAGCTTTAAGATCACATACAAGTTAATCTTTACACACAGATTACGAGGAGTATCAGGAGTACGTGTGGTGGATGCTTCCATCATGCCGCAGATTGTGTCTGGCAACCTCAACGCACCAACCATTATGGTTGGTGAGAGAGCTGCTGATCTTATTAAGCAAGATTGGGGCATCTCCATTTAATTCTTGTTAAAAAAGTACAGTCCTTAGAATATACCTGGAATATCCCTGGAGGGTGTTCCGGGGTCAACGCCCCCATGGCCCGGTCCATGACCGCGATATAACTGACATGAGTTATTGCTTAAAAATGAAACTGACCATGGTTGGTTATGTTAAGTGTATACCAATAACTGGAAAATATGACATATGCACTCGGTGTGTGTGAGAATAAATAACAGAATCAATGTGTACACATGTGGATAAAGACTCTCAATAGTATCGATGTCCTCTCAAAAGAGGTGAGGGGTTGTGTACCACAAGGCTCGGTATTGGACCCATTCTCTTTCTGGGTTATGTGAATGACATACCCAATGGAATTTTAAGTCTGATATATGTCTGTTCACTGTTGACATAAAAATAGTGAGACTATAAACAGATGAGGATGGGGAAAGGTTGCAAATGGATCTAGACAAACTACAAGGTTGGTCTTCTTTTTGATTATAATAATAATAATAATAATAACACAAGGTTGGTCAAAAAAGTTGTTGCTTGAATTCAACCCCAATAAATTCAAAGTTATGAAAACTGGCGATGAGGCAAGAAGACCAGACGTAAAGTATAGATGAGGAACAGAACTACACGCCTTTCTCAAAGAAAAAGATCTAGGAGTAAGCATACTACCTACCAAATCACAAGTCTCTCACATCAGCCGAGAAACCTCTGCAGCCAATGCTCATCTGATAAATCTAAGACTGGCCTCCAAGAATCTCAACAGTCATTCCGAGTACTTCATCCCTCACATTATCTTGGAGTATGCATCACCAGCACGCCATCCACGCCTTAGGACGCTTAAGAAACTGGAGAAAATGCAGAAGTATGCAATGAGACTAGTTCCAGAGCTGAGGGATATGAATTATGAAGAGAGACTGAAGGAATTGAATCTAATAACCCTGGAGGACAGAAGGACCAGAGGAGACATAACAACATACAAAATATTATGGAAAACTGATAAAGCGGACAGGAATAGGCTGTTTGTGAAGTGGAAGATGAAGACACAAATGAGTCTCAGGGATGTCAGGAAGTATTTCTTCAGTTTCAAGGTGGTCAGGAAGAGGAATTACTTTGACGATGTGGAGGCACTCTTCATGCCTAATTTTAAGAATAATGACAGGGCTCACGAGGCTAGGAGAGTGAATCTGGCAAGTGGCAAGTTGAGAGCCAAGGGCAGGAACTAAGATTTCACCCCTGCACTCACATATATTCGAGAACACAAAGAGAATGCGAGAAGAATCAACAGCATCATTGTACGCGCGTACCAATTAATACTCACTAAGTGCCAGAGTGCAGAATCAACAGTATCAATTGTAAAAATACGTAGAAACACAGATGAGAGTGAATAATCAACAGTATCACTGTATATCCACCTGAATAAACTCGTACCTAGTATCAGAATGTGAAGAATCAACAATATCACTGTATACTCACCTGAATAAACTCATACCTAGTATCAGAATGTGAAGAATCAACAGTATCACTGTATACCCACCTGAATGAACTCACACCTAGTATCAGAATTTGAAGAATCAATAGTATCACTGCATACCCGCCTGAATAAACTCATACCTAGTATCAGAATGTGAAGAATCAACAGTATCACTGTATACCCCCCTGAATAAACTCACACCTAGTATAAGAATATGAAGAATCAACAGTATCACTATACCAACCCGAATAAACTCACACCTAGTATCATAAGAACATAAGAACATAAGAAATAAGGAACACTGCAACATGCCTACTGACCCATGCGGAGCAGGTCCATGTCCTCCCCCGGATTAGACCAATGACCCCCACGGATTAGCCCAATGACCCACCCAGTCTGGTCACCTCCACTCAAGGATGGAGCACTGCACCAGACCCAGCAGCACAAGCTAGTCAGATCCAACTCACACCCACCCACATCCACTCATGTATTTATCTAACCTATTTTTAAAACTACACAACGTTTTAGCCTCAATAACTGTACTCGGGAGTTTGTTCCATTCATCCACAACTCTATTACCAAACCAGTGCTTTCCTATATCCTTCCTGAATCTGAATTTTTTCAACTTGAAACCATTGCTGCCAGTCCTGTCTTGGCAGGAAATTTTCAGCACGCTATTTACATCCCCTTTATTTATTCCTGTTTTCCATTTATACACCTCGATCATATCCCCCCTAATTCTACGCCTTTCGAGAGTGCAGATTCAGGGCCCTCAGTCTGTCCTCATAGGGAATTTTCTGATACATGGGATCATCTTTGTCATCCTCCTCTGTACGTTTTCCAGCGCATTTATATCCATTCTGTGATACGGTGACCAAAACTGAACAGCATAGTCTAAATGAGGCCTAACCAAGGATATATAGAGTTGAAAAACAACCGGAAGACTTTTATTATTTATACTTCTAGATATGAAGCCAAGAATTCTGTTGGCTTTATTGTGAACATTAATGCACTGTTGTCTTGGAACTCCTAAATCCTTTTCACAATAAGTAGTATTAAGATTTACATTATTTAGTTTATATGTGGCATGGTTATTTAACTGTCCAACATTTAGAACTTTGCATTTGTCAATATTAAATTGCATGTGCCACTTCTCCGACCATTGCATAAGTCTATTCAAATCATCCTGGAGTGCTCTAGTGTCCTCATTAGAATGAACTGGACGGCCTATTTTGGTGTCATCAGCAAATTTACTTATGTCGCTATTTATTCCCTCATCTATGTCGTTTATGTAAATTGTGAACAACAACGGGCCCAACACTGACCCCTGAGGAACACCCCTTGTGACGTGCCCCCATTCTGATTTCTCCCCATTGATGCAAACTCTGCTGTCTTTTTGTCAGCCATGCGTCTACCCAGGAAAAAAATTCTCCTCCTATTCCGTGTGCCTTAAGTTTCCTCAATAGCCTCTGGTGTGGAACTCTATCGAAAGCCTTACTGAGTCCATATACACAATATCATATTCATTACCATGATCTACCTCCTCAAACACCTAAGTGAAAAAAGTTATTAAATTCATAAGTCAGGAACGCCCCTTTGTAAAACAGTGTTGAGATTCATTAATCAATCTGTGCCTGTCAAGATTGCTACGAATTGCTTCGGCAATTATTGATTCCATAAATTTTCCCACTATGGAGGTAAGGCTTATTGGTCCATAGTTCGAAGCCAAGGACCTGTCACCTGCCTTGTAAATAGGTATTACGTTTGTCATTTTCCATTTATCAGGCACTATGCCAGTTTGTAGTGATATGTTAAAAAGATTAGCCAAAGGTATGCTTAGTTCCTCTTTACATTTTTTAACACACTTGCAAACAGTTCATCAGGGCCTGGGGATTTGTTAGGGTTTAGTTTCTCTATTTGTCTGAGGACCATGTCTCTAGTTACCACAATCATACATAGTTTATTATCATCCTGTTCTACATAATCTATTATTTCAGGAATATCGCTAGTATTTTCCTGGGTGAAAACTGAGAGGAAGTAGGTATTTAGTATTTCACACATATCCTTATCACTGTCAGTGATCTGACCAGAGTTACTCTTAAGTGGGCCAATCTTGTCCCTAATCTTACTTCTGTATACCTGAAAGAACCCTTTTGGATTATTCTTGGAATCCCTTGCGACCTTAGCCTCATAATCCCTTTTAGCTTTTCTTATTCCTTTCTTTATTTCTCTCTTAACTGCCCATCCCCTCTTTTGATAACGCCTATATATGCCTCTCTTTTGACCAATGAGATGTTTTAATCTATTGTTCATCCATTTGGGATCATTTTTGTTAGATCTAATTTCCCTACTTGGAACAAAAGTTGTCTGGGCAGCTAGAACTATGCTCTGAAAAACGTCATATTGGCAACCAAGATCACTTACCTGACCCATAGTCAGGACATCCTAATTTAGCCCACCCAGATAATTTTTCAGTCCCATGAAGTTGACCAAGCGAAAATCTGGGACAGAGATTTGATTGCAGTTATCTGGGTAATTCCATGATATATTGTAACTAAGTGTTTTGTGATCACTTTCTCCTAGCTCATCATTAACCTCAAGATTATTTATTAGTGAATCTTTGTTGGCAAGAACCAAGTCAAGCAGATTGCTTCCTCTAGTTGGTTCTGTCACAACCTGTTCTAAAAAGCAATCCTGAACCGTATCAAGAAAGTCACTAGACTCAAGATTTCCTGTCATATTGTTCTAATCATTTTGTCTAAAGTTAAAATCTCCCATTATCACAACATTTTCATATCTAGATGCCTTATGAATTTCATCCCATAGCAGTTTACTGCCCTCCCTATCAAGGTTTGGGGGCCTATAAATCACACCCAAAATTAATTTGTCGCGTCCCTCGAGAAACTGTAGCCAAACAGATTCTGTGTTCGATGTTTCTAATCTTATATCATGTCTAAGACAACAATTTAGATTATCTCTGACATATATCGCCACACCACCAAACTTCCTGTTGACCCTATCAGTGTGGAATAGTTTATAACCCTGTATGTTGCATTCAGAAGGCATTTCTCTATCTTTCAGGTTGAACCAGGTCTCTGTTATACCAATAATATCTATATTACCTACACTTGCAAGTAATCTTAGCTCATCTATCTTATTTCTTAGATTCCTACTATTTGTATAGTAAACTTTAAAGGAGCTAGTCACTCGTTGCCCTCTACTGTCTCTGTTTGTTGATCAGTTGATTTGCCATTACTAGCAACTTTATTTTGAATATTGTCTTTTAAACATAACTCTGAGGTATCCCAGTAATAACTGCTGTTTTTAACCCTAATGCTGCAGCCTGATTGTTTCCCACAAACACCCATACCTCTATAATCTATCAGTTTAAATTCCTAGACAAGTCATCAATTACCCTCTCAATTGAATTGGCTAATGCAACCACTCCATCCCCAGAGAGATGAACCCCATCCCTTGCATACATATCACGTTTGCCAAAGAATAGGTCCCAGTTATCAATGAATGGGATTGCAAGTTCCTTGCAGCACCTTTCTAGGCAAGATGCTACATATGACTGGGATCTCACCCTTAGACCTAACTACTTCTATGGCTGACCTGTACTTATCCAGCAGCTCCTCTCTCCTGCCCTTCCCAATGTCATTACCTCCAGCGCTAAGACAGATACTGGGTTGTTCCCATTACCTGCCTTAATATTATCCAACTTGCTGACTATGTCACCAACACCAGCTCCAGGAAGACACACTCTCTGTCTCACCTTTCTGTCTCTGTTACAAAATGCACGGTCCATATATCTTACCTGAGAATCGCCTACTATTAAAATATTCTTACCTTGATTAGCAGGGTAATCAGTGGTATCTTCAGCCTCACTAACCACTGAAGTACACTCGTCTTGGGGAACAGAGAATCGATTTCCTACCTTCACATCTTCTCTATTAACTCACCTCATCTTCCTTCTTCCTGAACTGTGAACCACTTGCCACTTAAAGCGGCTACCACTATCACTGCTGGTGACCATTCCTTCCTTACCAGCTAAATCATTCTCACACTCGCTCCCAAACTCATCTATGCGAAGTTTCAGCCTCCTATTTTCCTCCTGAAGAAGTTGAACCTCCTTCTTCAACACTTTAACCTGAGATTCTAAATCACTACAACAAGACATGGTGCTTGGTAACAGCCCACGCTAACTCCCAAGAGCTTAGGCAGGTATGACCGCAGGTGACCACTGACCTAAGCATACTGACCACTGACCTCAGCAAAGAATCAACAGTATCACTGTATACCCACCTGAATAAACTCACACCTAGTATCATAATGCGAGGAATCAACAGTATCACTGTATACACACCTGAATAAACTCACAAGTAGTACCAGAATGTGAAGAATCAACAGTATCACTATATCCAGTTGAATAAACTCACACCTAGTATCAGAATGTGAAGAATCAGCAGTATCACTATACCAACCCGAATAAACTCACACCTAGTATCAGAATGTGAAGAATCAACAGCATCACTGTATACCCGCCTGAATAAACTCATACCTATTATCAGAATGTGAAAAATCAAGAGTATCACTGTATACCCGCCTGAATAAACTCACACCTAGTATCACAATGTGAAGAATCAACAGTATCACTGTATACCCACCTGAATAAACTCACACTTAGTATAAGAATGTTAAGAATCAGCAGTATCACTATACCCGCCTGAATAAATTCACACCTAGTTTCAGAATGTGAAGAATCAACAGTATCACTGTATATCCGACACTCAGTGTCTCTGCAACACTCACAGTGTTTCCCTGCAACACTCAGTGTCTCTGCAACACTCACAGTGTCTCCCTGCAACACTCTCCCACTAGCGACACTCACAGTTGCTACAAGGAAAAATGGTTGTACGACAGTATAATGAAGAACTTAAATACCTTGAAATATTGTCACCCTAATGTTGGCGTATCCAGAAGGGTTTCCAGCCCAATATGAATGTAGAAGGCATATTCTACGTGAATGACCACCTTGAAAAGTTAATGTTTGAAGAGTTACGCAATTCTTGCCGTCCAGGATCAATTGGAGGTTTCTTACCCGGTATGAAGCAGATTGCTAATGTTGCAGCGCTTCCTGGTATTGTTGGAAAATCTGTTGGTTTGCCTGACGATCATTCAGGATATGGTTTTGCCATTGGTTAATATGGCAGCTTTTGATATGGACAACCCTAAAGCAGTTGTCTCTCCTGGTGGTGTGAGATTCGATGTCAATTGTGGCGTGCGCTTGTTGCGGACCAACCTTATTGAAGCTGATCTTCCCATGAAGGAGCAGTTAGCCCAGTCCATGTTTGACCACATCCCAGTAGGAGTTGGGTCAAAGGGTATTATTCCTATGACAGCACGTGACTTAGAGGAAGCACTCGAGATGGGCATGGATTGGTCATTCAGAGAAGGGTATATTTGGGCTGAAGATAAGGAACATTGTGAGGAATATGGACGTATGGCACAAGCAGACCCAGCTACAGTGTCCATGCGAGCTAAGAAGAGAGGCTTACCACAGTTGGGCACACTAGGAGCTGGAAACCATTATGCTGAAATTCAAGTAGTGGATGAAATATATGACAAATGGGCAGCCAGTAAAATGGGAATAGAGGAGAAAGGACAAGTGTGTGTCATGATCCACTCAGGCTCTCGTGGTTTTGGACATCAGGTGGCTACAGATGCACTTGTTGCGATGGAAAAAGCAATGAAGCGAGATGATATAGACACAAATGATCGACAGTTAGCTTGTGCTGGAATCCACTCTAAAGAAGGCCAGGATTACCTCAAGTCTATGTCTGCAGCAGCAAACTTTGCTTGGGTTAATCGCTTTTCAATAACTTTCTTAAGTCGTCAGGCATTTACCAAGCAGTTCCAGTTGAGTCCCGATGACCTAGACATGCATGTTATCTATGACGTGTCTCACAATATTGCCAAAATTGAACAACACTGGGTAGATGGAAAACTTCGCACTCTGCTTGTACATAGAAAGGGTTCGACTCGGGCCTTCCCTCCACACCATCGATACGATAGGACTCACAGGTAAGGACCCACGAGGGGCGAGGGGCAAGTGGGGACAGTGCGAAGAATAGACGGTGAGAGGAATGTCTTGAGTTGAAGAGAGAAGAGTCAGGACTAAACCCAACTGCTAAGCATGGATAAACAATAACGAAGATGACATAAAAGACAACAGGGACTCTGTGGGTGCTGACTGCAACTGACTGGAAGCACTTCAACTTGCAATGACTGGATATGGTTCAAGGACACGTTGTTGCAAAGGCGACACAAAACGCACATCGCAAGCACTTCATCCTCTAATTCCTGTTGATTATTAGCTGACAGGACAACCTGTGCTAATTGGTGGGACAATGGGCACTTGTTCCTATGTATTGACAGGAACTGAGCAGGGTATGATGGAAACCTTTGGATCAACATGCCATGGTGCTGGTCGTGCTATCTCTCGTGCCAAGTCTCGCAGAAACCTGGATTACACTGATGTTTTAATTAAGCTTCAAGAACAAGGCATAAGCATCAGAGTGGCTTCCCTAAAATTAATCATGGAAGAGGCTCCAGAGTCTTACAAGAATGTTACCGATGTTGTTGACACGTGTCATGCGGCAGGAATCAGCAAGAAATGCATCAAGCATCGACCAATAGCTGTCATCAAGCATCGACCAATAGCTGTCATCAAGCATCGACCAATAGCTGTCATCAAGCATCGACCAATAGCTGTCATCAAGGGATGAATGTATTGCATGATATATTACATCTTTATTTATGACTTCATTCAGATCTTTTATCTAAGTTTCTTTGTTCTGTTTACACTAATAAATATGCACGTTTTTGACCATATGCTATGTTATATTGCTGTATGTACGTACATTTTTAATAAAACAACTCAGTGTCACATTATTCCCAAATTACGTACCAGTCGTGCCATGTGAAAACACAAGCGTTAAAAAAAAAGCAACAGAAGTCCAGAGGTCATACTGCAGCTTTATACATCATTAGTAAGGCCTCACCTAGATTATGCAGCTCAGTTCTGGTCTCCATATTACAGAATGGACATAAATTCGTTAGAAAACATTCAGCGTAGGATGACTAAATTAATACATAGGATTAGAAATCTTCCTTATGAAGAAAGATTGAAGACTCTTAAGTTACATTCACTTGTTAGACGAAGAATGAGGGGAGACCTGATCGAAGTGCATAAGTGGAAGATAGGTATTAATAAAGGGGATATTAACAAGGTCTTGAGGATGTCTCTCCAAGAGAGAAACCGCAGAAATGGATTTAAATTAGATAAGTTTAGATTTAAAAAAGGACATAGGAAAGTATTGATTTGGAAATATGGTAATTGATGAGTGGAACAGTCTACCTCGTTGGGTTATTGAGGCTAGGACTTTGGGTAGTTTCAAATTTAGGTTGGATAAGTACATGAGTGGGACTTGCACATCAGAGCTTATTTCTTGGGAAGCATTGAAAATTGGGTTGGGCAAATGTTTTGTTAGTGGGATGAATTGTAAAGGACCTGCCTAGTATGGGCCAACAGGCCTGCTGCAGTGTTCCTCCTTTCTTATGTTCTTATGTTTTATGAATGAACTCACACCTAGCATCAGAATGTGAAGAATCAACAGTATCACCATATACCCTCCTGAATAAACTCATACCTAGTACCAGAATGTGAAGAATCAACAGTATCACTGTATACCCGCTTGAATAAACTCGTACTTAGTATTGGAATGTGAAGAATCAACAGTATCACCATATACTCACCTGAATAAACTCATACCTAGTATCAGAATGTGAAGAATCAACAGTATCACTATACCCACTTGAATAAATTCACACCTAGTATCAGAACGTGAAGAATCAAGAGTATCTCTGTATACCAACCTGAATAAACTCAAACCTACTATCAGAATGCGAAGAATCAACAGTACCACTGTATACCCGCCTGAATAAAGTCACATCTAGTATCAGAATGCGAAGAATCAACAGCATCACTGTATACCCGCCTGAATAAACTCACACTTATTATAAGAATGTGAATATTCAGAAGTATCACTATACCCCCCTGAATAAACTGACACCTAGTATCAGAATGTGAAGAATCAACAGTATCACTGCATACCCCTCTGAATAAACTCACACCTAGTATCAGAATGTGAAGAATCAACAGTATCACTGTATACAAGCCTGAATAAACTGACACCTACTATCAGAATGTGAAGAATCAACAGTATCACTGTATAACCATTTGAATAAACTCGCACCTATCAGAACGCGAAGAATCAAGAGTATCACTTTATAACCGCCTGAATAATCTCACACATGGTATCAGAATGAGAAGAATCAACAGTATCACTGTGTACCCACCTGAATAAAGTCACATCTATTATCAGAATATGAAGAATCAACAATATAACTAGACCCACTTGAATAAAGTCAAGCTTAGTATTAGAATTTGAAGAATCAAAGTATCATTGTATACCCGCCTGAATAAACTCACATTTAATATCAGAATGTGAAGAATCAACGTCATCACTGTACACCTTCCTGATTAAACTCACACCTATTTTCGGAATGTGTCGAATCAATAGTATCACTATACCCACTTGAATAAACTCACACCTAGTATCAGAATGTGAAGAATCTGCAGTATCACTATACCCACTTGAATAAACTCACACCAAGTATGAGAATGTGAAGAATCAAAGTATCATTGCTTACCAGCCTGAACAAACTCACACCTATTTTCAGAATGAGAAGAATCAACAGTATCACTGTATACCCGTCTGAATAAACTCACACCTATTTTCAGAATGCGAAGAATCAACAGTATCACTGTATGCCCACATGAATAAACTCACACTTAGTACAAGATTGTGAAGAATCAGCAGTATCACTATACCCACTTGAATAAACTGACACCTAGTATCAGAATGTGAAGAATCAACAATATCACTGTATACCCACCTAAATAAACTCACACCTAGTATCACAATTTTAAGAATCAAGAGTATCACTGTATATCCGCCTGAATAAACTCATAACTAGTATGAGAATGTGAAGAATCAACAGTATCACTGTATATCCACCTGAATAAACTCATACATAGTGTCAGAATGTGAAGAATCAACAGTATCAATGTATACTCGCCTAAATAAACTCACACTTAGCATAAGAATGTGAAGAATCAGCAGTATCACTGTATCAGCCTGAATAAACTCACACATAGTATCAGAATGTGAAGCATCAACAGTATCACTGTATACCCACCTGAATAAACTCACACGTAGCATGAAAATGTTAAGAATCAACAGTATCACTGTATGCCCACAGGATTAAACTCATACCTAGTATGAGAATGTGAAGAATCAACAGTATGACTGTATATCCGCCTTAATAAAGTCATACCTAGTATCAGAATGTGAAGAATCAACAGTATCACTGTACACCTGCCAGAATAAACTCACCCCTAGTATCAGAATGTGAAGAATCTACAGTATCACCGTATACCCACCTGATTTAACTCATACCTAGTATGAGAATGTGAAGAATCAACAGTATAGCTGTATACCCACCTGAATAAACTCATACCTAGTTTGAGAATATGAAGAATCAACAGTATCACTCTATACTCGCCTGAATAAACTCACATCTATTATCAGAATGTCAAGAATTAACAGTATCACTGTATGCCCACAATAATAGACTCATACCTAGTATCAGAATGTCAAGAATCAACAGTATCACTGTATATCCTCATTAATAAAGTCATACTTAGTATCAGAATGTGAAGAATCAGCAGTATCACTGTATACTCGCCTGAATAAACTCACATCTAGTATCAGAATGTGAAGAATCAACAGAATCATTGTATACCCATATTAATAAACTAATACCTATTATCAGAATATGAAAAATCAACAGTATCACTGTATGCCCACATTAAAAAGACTCACATCTAGTATCAGAATGTGAATAATCAACAGCATCACTGTATACTCTCCTGAATAAACTCACAGCTAGTATCAGAATGTGAAGAATCAACAGTATCACTGTATACTGGCCTGAATAAACTCAAAACTAGTATCAGAATGTGAAGAATCAACAGTATCACTGTATGCCCACATTAATAAACTCATACCTAGTATAAGAATGTGAAGAATCAACAGTATCAATGTATACTCGCCTGAATAAACTCACACATAGTATCAGAAAGTGAATAATCATCAGTATCACTGCATACACACATTAATAAACTCATACCTAGTATCAGAATGTGAAGAATCAACAGTATCACTGTATGCCCACAATAATAAACTCATACCTAGTATCAGAATGTGAAGAATCAACAGTATCACTGTATGCCCACAATAATAAACTCACACCTAGTATCAGAATGTGAAGAGTCAACAGTATCACTGAATACTCGCCTGAATGAAATCACACCTAGTATCAGAATGTGAAGAATCAACAGTATCACTGTATACCCACATTAATAAAGTCACACCTGGTATCAGAATGTGAAGAATCAACAGTATCACTGTATACTCGCCTGAATAAAATCACACCTAGTATCAGAATGTGAAGAATCAGCAGTACCTCTGTATACCCACATTAATAAACCCATACCTAGTATCAGAATGTGAAGAATCAACAGTATCACTGTATACTCGCCTGAATAAAATCACACCTAGTATCAGAATGTGAAGAATCAGCAGTACCTCTGTATACCCACATTAATAAACCCATACCTAGTATCAGAATGTGAAGAATCAACAGTATCACTGTATACTCGCCTGAATAAACTCTCACCTAGTCTCAGAATGTGAAGAATCACTAGCATCTCTGTATACCCACAATAATAAACTCATACCTGGTATCAGAATGTGAAGAATCAACAGTATCACTGTATGCACACATTAATAAACTCACACCTAGTATCAGAATGTGATTATTCAACAGTATCACTGAATACTCGCTTGAATAAGCTCACACCTAGTATCAGAATGTGAAGAATCATCAGTATCACTGTATACTCGCCTGGTCACAGACCGGGCCGCGGAGGCGTTGTCCCCAGGAACTCTCTCCAGGTAAACTCCAGGTACACCCGCCTGAATAAACTCATAACTTGTATCAGTATGTGAAAAATCAACAGCATCACTGTATACCCGCCAGAATAAACTCACCACTAGTATCAGAATGTGAAGAGTCTACAGTATCACCGTATACCCACCTGAATAAACTCATACCTAGTGAGAATATGAAGAATCAACAGTATCACTGTATACTCACCTGAATACACTCACACGTAGTATCAAATTGTGAAGGATTAAGAGTATCACTGTATACCCACATTAATAAACTCATACGTAGTATCAGAATGTGAAGAATCAGCAGTATCACTGTATACCCATTAATAAACTCATACCTAGCATCGGAATGTGAAGAATCAACAGTATCACTGTATACTCGTCTGAATAAACTCACACCTAGTATCAGAATGTGAAGAATCAACAGTATCACTGTATACCCACACTAATAAACTCATACCTCGTATGAGAATGTGAAGAATGAACAGTATCACTGTATACCTACCTAATTTAACTCATACCTAGTATGAGAATGTGAAGAATCAACAGTATAGCTGTATACCCATATTAATAAACTCACACCTAGTATCAGAATACGAAGAATCAACAGTATAACTGTATTCCCACATTAATAAACTCATACCTAGTATCAGAATGTG